CAAACCTAGGCAAAATGAAAAACGAGCACGTCACAGAATCCACAGGAAGTTTCAGAGCCTCAGCCCACAAAGCAATAGGTATTAGGCATGGGAAAGAGACAGAAGGAATCTAAAGTTTCCTAAAATAAGCTGTAACTTCACAAATGCTTGCACATGACAGCCCACTGAGCAAGCTTGCATGGTCAAGACTTAATGTGCTTTGATCTTTTTTCCCCTTCCACATTTACAGAATGCCATTGACATTGGCTAAAACTTTACTTTAAATAGCCTTTTTAATATCAGTAATCAATTGTAAATTCAGGAAAATTGAAACATTTATAAATATATTTTATATATCAGAGTATAACATATCTAGAGTAAAGTAAAACTATATAGTTTTGAGAGGCATTCTGTGCTGCTTCTTCTATATGCTGTAAACTGTTTGAAAACCTTTGCAATCTTGCATCAGTTTTTTTGGCTTTATTTTTAAGCCAACATACAAGAAAGAAGATATTACAGGGTTGGCAGATACTTTTGCCTGGGCCATCTGAAAAGCCCTGCTGCTGCAAAGACTTACATTGCTCACTTAACTTTTTGTGTTGATAGTTAAGTGTAGGTGCAAGGCTTAGCAGTGAGGTGGGCAGTGGATGCGGAGGTGGGAGTTCAGCCCTACACCTGAATGTTTACATTCCGTTACAAAGGTTCATATTGACCCAGATTGAAAATCTGAGTCTGGAAGTACATATGGAGTAAAAGATTAGTTTCTTACTACAGATAACTTTGCCTCTGTATACTTAGTGCATTATCAGCTGTGTATAATATTGAACACAGACCTGTAATTTATTGATGCTTTAATTTGATGTTTCCTTGCACTGCTCTTTAAAATAATCTATTTCCTCAACAATGAACGATGTGCATATTGGATGTGTTGAATTTATTAAGGTCATAGATTACTATTTGCAGAGCACCACATTTAATGTAGTATTTTTGTACTGTAATGGAAGCATGCCTTCCTTGGGTTCTTTTCCACATATTAAATTGTATTTATTTACCTGTATTTATAACTGTGCAATTTTTAAATATGTTTTAAAAATAAACTTTGTCTGTGGCTTCAAATATTTCAAAATCTCTTTTCAATTTGAAAATGGTCTTGACTAAAATTACTTGAACTGAAAGGAGGGACCTACTTCTCCAAGTGAAATAAAGGATTTTTTTTTAATGAGGTCTTCTAATCTATTGTTTACGATGTGAACTTGCTTCTCTGCTTAAAAATTAAGCCCAGACGAGGCTTTTTTCATTACCAAACATTTGAACTGAAAGGAGGGACCTACTTCTCCAAGTGAAATAAAGGATTTTTTTTTAATGAGGTCTTCTAATCTATTGTTTACGATGTGAACTTGCTTCTCTGCTTAAAAATTAAGCCCAGACGAGGCTTTTTTCATTACCAAACATTTTTCATAAATTCATCGTTACTCCGAGGTAGAGTTATTTTTATAATTTATTTTTATTTCAACATGTTGATAATTATACTTACAACTGGAATTTATACTAGCTGAGGTCTGGCCCAAAGGATTTTGCGCATACACTCCACATGAAGAAAAAGGGAAAAAAGTACATCAGAATTTTTCCTGAAGATCATGCAACTGCACACCTCAAAATTAAAACAGAAGTGGTAATATTAGAACACAATCTTTCTGAAAAAACAAAGCCAACTTGCAGTGATTGAAATCGTTATTCAAGCAACTTCCCATAAACCATAGTAGGAGTTGGCTAGTGGTGTTTTTCAGTTGTGGCTTTCATGGGATGAGGTGAAAGAGCTGACAGAGTAGAAATGACATCATCTTTATACTTTTGCTATGGGACACTGACATAAGCACAGACATGAGAGGGACATAAAATTCCCGTGCCCCGCTGTGGACAGAAAAGATGACAGCCAGCAAGGGGGCTGTGACAGTTACAGCTATTGACAAAGCAGGACAACATTGGCATGGATCTGAAGGCTGACACTCTCAATGGACGTGTGGATTGCTCCAGAAAAAGCCTCAGAAGATACAGCCACAGTTTGCCTGTAGAAGGAAAGCTCTGTCAGAAAAGCCAACTGGCTGCCTATGGCTTTAACCAGAACCTTCTACTAAAGAAGAAAAGGGAACAGACACTGAAAACACACTAACCCTTAGGATGCAAGTAATGTGTGCTCTTGACACTGGCATGTTTTGCCAGGAGATGTTAAGGTTAGTTTAGTTGTTGCTGCTCAAATGCACCAACAAAGAAGCAGCAGGAATGCCCATTAGTTATGTGCACTGTAGCAAACATGGACCAGGAACACAGCACGGCAGTCCTGAAGCCAACAGCACGGCAGTCCTGAAGCCAAACAAAGAGAGAGGTTGGGAGAAAAGCATTAGTACCAAATCCTACGTACAAAACTGCTCAGAAAATCACTGGGAAGGATACTGGTAAAGGAGTGTGAAAATATAATCACCTACTCCACACCAGCTGTCAGCCATGCGCTATCTGTCTTCAATATTTTTATGGCATTCATCTTTCACCACAGCTGTCAGTGCCTCTCTTACTCATGTTATCCTTGTAGCATACCTGAGGGACAAAGAAGTGTTACTTCCCATTTTAGTGAGGGGGAACAGAGACCAAGGGTGGTGCTAACTTGTCAGTTATCTAATACTGCCTTCCACAAGCAGTCCGCGAAAGTTAGCAGGCACAAATCCTATACAGGAATTCTTGCATGGAGTCTGAACATGGCCCTTTAGCTTGCACAAGGAGCCACATAATAAAGGATTTTTTTTTAATGAGGTCTTCCCTATTGTTTACGATGTGAACTTGCTTCTCTGCTTAAAAATTAAGCCCAGACGAGGCTTTTTCATTACCAAAACATTTTTCATAAATTCATCGTTACTCTGAGGTAGAGTTATTTTTATAATTTATTTTTATTTCAACATGTTGATAATTATACTTACAACTGGAATTTATACTAGCTGAGGTCTGGCCCAAAGGATTTTGCGCATACACTCCACATGAAGAAAAAGGGAAAAAAGTACATCAGAATTTTTCCTGAAGATCATGCAACTGCACACCTCAAAATTAAAACAGAAGTGGTAATATTAGAACACAATCTTTCTGAAAAAACAAAGCCAACTTGCAGTGATTGAAATCGTTATTCAAGCAACTTCCCATAAACCATAGTAGGAGTTGGCTAGTGGTGTTTTTCAGTTGTGGCTTTCATGGGATGAGGTGAAAGAGCTGACAGAGTAGAAATGACATCATCTTTATACTTTTGCTATGGGACACTGACATAAGCACAGACATGAGAGGGACATAAAATTCCCGTGCCCCGCTGTGGACAGAAAAGATGACAGCCAGCAAGGGGGCTGTGACAGTTACAGCTATTGACAAAGCAGGACAACATTGGCATGGATCTGAAGGCTGACACTCTCAATGGACGTGTGGATTGCTCCAGAAAAAGCCTCAGAAGATACAGCCACAGTTTGCCTGTAGAAGGAAAGCTCTGTCAGAAAAGCCAACTGGCTGCCTATGGCTTTAACCAGAACCTTCTACTAAAGAAGAAAAGGGAACAGACACTGAAAACACACTAACCCTTAGGATGCAAGTAATGTGTGCTCTTGACACTGGCATGTTTTGCCAGGAGATGTTAAGGTTAGTTTAGTTGTTGCTGCTCAAATGTACCAACAAAGAAGCAGCAGGAATGCCCGTTAGTTATGTGCACTGTAGCAAACATGGACCAGGAACACAGCACGGCAGTCCTGAAGCCAACAGCACGGCAGTCCTGAAGCCAAACAAAGAGAGAGGTTGGGAGAAAAGCATTAGTACCAAATCCTACGTACAAAACTGCTCAGAAAATCACTGGGAAGGATACTGGTAAAGGAGTGTGAAAATATAATCACCTACTCCACACCAGCTGTCAGCCATGCGCTATCTGTCTTCAATATTTTTATGGCATTCATCTTTCACCACAGCTGTCAGTGCCTCTCTTACTCATGTTATCCTTGTAGCATACCTGAGGGACAAAGAAGTGTTACTTCCCATTTTAGTGAGGGGGAACAGAGACCAAGGGTGGTGCTAACTTGTCAGTTATCTAATACTGCCTTCCACAAGCAGTCCGCGAAAGTTAGCAGGCACAAATCCTATACAGGAATTCTTGCATGGAGTCTGAACATGGCCCTTTAGCTTGCACAAGGAGCCACATTCTCCCACCTCTTCCAGTTGCTACAAGTGGTGTGAACACAGTGCGGCGTGACTTGCTGTGGTCACAAAGGACATCTGTGATAGAAAAGAAACCAAAACAGATCATTAAATTTGGACTTCAGGAGCTGAACCATCTTTACCTTTCCTATCATTCAACAATTCACATGGCCTCTACTTCCATGTCAGGAAATTTCACTTATAGCCCGGTAGGTTTACCTCTTACCTCTCCTCCTGTTCCTGGTCCCATGATCCTATAAAAAGATGAAAGGGTTGCCATCCCTCAGTCTTCTTTTTTGGCCTATTCTTGCATCTATCAAAAAGTCCCAGTGGTCACACTGCTATGTAAAGCCCTTGCACATGAGGAAAAAAGGCTTCTCCTTTACTGAACAGCAGGTCAAATTTCTAAATGAGTATGAGGAGTTACAGACCAAGATAAAACTGTGATTGAACAGCAGGAATTTGGGGGGTGAAATGACAACACTCTTCCACATGAACATTGCGAACTCTTGTGTTCAACGAACATCAACTGGCTTGAAAGTTAAAAACAAAAAAATTAATCTTATTTTCTATTTTTGCCATGTTTTATATTCACTCAGGGCTTGGGGATTTTTTTTTTTCCCATCCATAGAAGTGCCACAAGTCACAAGAAATCAAGACTCTCAAAAACCTTTTTGTTCCCTATGCAGGTTTAAGTAAAACACCAAACATGACCACAAAAAGTAAGAAAAGAGGGAGCATCAAAACATACTCAGTCTATTCCTCTTCAGGCAGGAAAGAAAGAAGCAAGAATCCACACAATCACAAGATGTGAGAATATTTCTTTTTAATTTAAAACAGTTGCAACAATGTCATTCACAACCTTTCTCATCTCAGACAATTACTCTCCAAAATGTTAACAGTGCTTCAAGCAAACTCTGAATGGTGCAAAGTAAACCAGTACAGACACTTCCAGGATACAACAGTAAAACCACTGAAGAGTGAATGGAAATCAGAAACCGATCTCAGCCATTAAGGTAGGAAGGGTGATGGGAAAAGAATAAAAAGTTATGTCCAGTTACATGTTTTGCATAGTCTTTCAATGCATGAAAACAGCAAAGAAGATAAGAATGGCTGCTGCCAGGATGGAGAACAAAAAGAATGAATTGTTTCAGAAGCATCATCCAATGTAACAAGCTCTGGTTGCATCTGTTTTCAGAATGTGCGCTACGACCCAGTGGAGGCTTCCTGAATCAAAGAAAATGGATTGATTCCAATTTCAGTTACACCAAAGTAAGTGAGAAGTAATGCCACTGAACCCAGTAGAATTACAAGTGATAGTAGTCCAGAAACATCTAGGCTTGTTTTTAAACCATAGCTTTGAATAAATTAAATTTTTATCCTAATTATATTTTAGCTAGGAAGATTAAATAGGAGTTTGTGTCTACATGTGTTTTGGAGACTGGAGATTGTGACTCAGAATGAGGGGTCTACTGGATCCAGCATGCTGCTAGGAATGAGAGGGGAAAAGGAAAACAAGGAAAAGTTATTGAGTTTTTCTTCCTTCCACTCTCCTAACCTGAATGTATCATGAAAAAGTAAAAATCAGTCTGAGAAGTAAGAGCATTGTTTGCGGCCAAGTCCTGGCTTGCCATAATTCTCAGGTTAGATTGTCTCAAACAGCTCACAGTGATTTTTCTTCCTCCATCCTTTTTTGTCAAGAAGCTCTCAGCACACCTAACCCCCCAACAGGTATTACAGTACCCAGACACATGGAGTTTCCCCATCAGCCACTGCCCAGGTTGTGTACTGAGGCCTGGCCCAGCACAACTAAGTGCATACAAATTTTAGCAGGCAAAGCTTGATAACTTAGTCATCTATTCAGTACAGTCTGTTTGACTGTGGCTTCTGCATGCTGAAGTTTAAAACAAACAAACAAAGAAAACCCCCAAACTCCTCTCCCCCGCATTAGGCTGAAGAGTCAGGAGTTTACATCCTGCTCCTCCAGGTTCATGATGTTCTTCCCACATATCCCATCGCAAAAGTGAGATGACTTAACTGGCCATTTGAAAAAGGAGGGAAGCCACTACTTCGGGAGATAGTAATTCCTCAAACAGCTGAAGAACTTTAACATATTTTCAAGTGCTAAATTTTAGAAGATCCATAAGCCTTTCCCCTAAACTGCTCCCTGCACTTCTGACCCACTTGGCAGTTTAAGCAGGCAGTACACAAAAGAGCGATGAACTGAACAGAATTTCAGAAGCCGAGCTGCTACAGTTCACCTATCACAGCCAGCAAATGGCTCTCCCCTTTCATTTACCATTTCCAGTTTATCACCTGCCAGCTTTCTATCAACTGAGATCAATCAGTCCCACAGCCATTCCAGTTTTAGGATGTACCAGACAAATGGTTTGCAAGAGTCCAAGTTCCATCCTTAATCCTATGAGACCAGCCATGTTTCCAGTTTAATTATGAACATGGGAACAACTCTGCTGGCATTTATTTACCTGAGGTTTCTAAATAAAAAGGTAGTGGCCACCAGATCATCTTAGTTTATAAACAGCCCTTTAAGTTCATGAGGCAAGAAGGAAGCCGTTGTGTTGAAATTCCTTGGAATATAACTGACATTCAAAAAAATTAAAGAGGAAAAAAAAAAAAAAAAAGAAAAGAGAGGCCTTTTGTCCTTTTTCTACTGCCAGAATGAAAAAGCACAAACATAGATATACGGAAGTTTTGTTCTTTCACTTTAAATAGAAGATGCATCACTGCATAATTTGCTGATCCCATTTTCAAATCTGGCATTTTCTGGTGAAATACACAAATACTCAAAACCCAGAAGAAGGAAAAAAAATTACTGGCAGCTTTTATTTTGTCCAGAACTGGTGGCTCAATAATTACAAGGCAGCTGAATCTCACAGGAGCCACTCAGTAATGTACTAGGACGCCGTTCTTTTGTGTCAGTAAGAGCACTAAATGCAGGAAGCTTTCCCAGCAATTAGGCACCATTTACAGTCTACAGAATTATTGCACTAGAATTTCTCTCATAATCTTTTAAGATTGAAAACTGATTTTAAAAAAAATCAACAGTGTTTTTTGGCTCTGCATGAGGCTATATGACCAGAAGGAGAACTATTTTTCCCCAAACGCTGGAAAAAATAAAATGCCCTACTCATAACCAGATCTTTAATTTGGGTTCTCTTCTGTAGTGTGTAGCTGCCTGAATTTTGCTATTAAATTTGCAGGCATTGACTGCAGAGAAAATGTAATTATACCTCCCTGCCCCTCTTGCACTCTGTAAGGAGGATTTTTTTTTTTTTTTTTGACTGTTCCAATTTATTTTGAGGGCTCAGTAAGATTGTATGAGGCAACTTCAGCAACAGTCTCTTAAGCAGTGGCCAACACTGAGAACCTTTTGGGGTTTTTTGGAATCATGAAAGGTTTCACACTCACCATTGTATTTTTTCTAGAATTAGTGTTTTCAAATACAATTTAAAAACCCACATATATATTCTTGCCTGTAACACAAACTGAAATAACACCCCAAAAAAAAAAAAAGACAGGAAAGGCCAGCCCCTACCTACATACCCCTTCATCCCTGCCAGAGATATAAAACTTCTTTTAGAAGGTGTCTGTTGAAGAGATCACATTATTGGTGTGTTTGCAATTTTTAAGAAAGCTGAAACATCATTTCAAGGTGGGGTTTTTTTTGTTGTTTGGGTTTTGTTGTTGCTGGATTTTTTTTTTTTTTTTTAAAACGGGGGGGGGGGAGAGAGGGGCAAATCAATAAATCAGCAATTTTACTAAGCAATTTCCCCCACTCATGGATGGAACTAAATGTTTAAGCAATCTTTGGCAGAAAGCAGAATTGCACTGCGAGTTCTTTGTCAGGGAGTTGGTTTCAGCTGGAATGTGAGTGGTCTAGATGCAAATTTCCCCGAAATAAATATAATGGGACATTAACCTCTCCTTTACCTCCTTCATAAGAAAATAAAATGTAAATAATAGCCTTGCCTTTCCTGAGGGTATGCATTTAATTTTATAGTCTGCTTCTTTTAGCCATCTGTAATCCTGAATCTGTTGGAAGAACTTGCAAAACAAACATTCAAGATGAAGAAACCTATGTCTGCAAAAATAAAATCTACTATTTCTCTTTGGCAGAAAACGTACAGGGCACTGACAGCAGATTGCTTCCATCTCCATTAGTTTCTTAGGTTTATGCATCAGAAAGGCGAACCAAAATACTATAAAACTGAATTCCAGCAGATATAACTTTAGTTGACTTTTCTCACTGTACTGAAAATAATCTCTCAAATAAGACATTCTGCTTTGAAGAACACTCACACACACCCGACCTCCAACTTTATATGCGATATGATTTCTCTAAGTGGTCTGGACTCTGGCTGAAAACACTGACTCTCAGTTACCAAAGAGGCAAGTATTTCTTCCTGGTCTTCAAAGGATGCATGGACAGAACAGGAAGGAGCTGGGCTGAACTGGGCTATTCTTGTTCAACTCTGAAACTTCTGTTTTCTCCATATACTAGCTGCAAACTCCACCAGTAATCTGCATGGTCTTAAGGTATCCTTTAAGGTGTATAAATTTAAAACAACGTACTATAAATCACCTAATAGAATTTTCTCTCTAATGCTTAAGGCGGCATCAAATGACTGTTTTTAAATAAACTATAAATATCCCATGCTTTCCTTTGCTTTTTGGCAGTCCAAGAGTTAGGGGTCTTTTGTTGGTTTTAAATTTTCTTTTTTATTGTATGCTTTTTTGGCAGGTTAAAAAGGCTTATGGCTTGTTAAGGCCAGGTAATAGATTTGAGGCCTAACTTGGTATCCTGTGGTAAAAATAAACGTAGCCCAGGTCTTTGGGAGGTCGTTCTGAGGCACAGACTCTAAGGTCATTGTAGATCACCCATCTGAAATGAAAACAAGATTGATTACATTCCATGTGTATAAAAATCATCACAAGTTTATTAGGGACTTCTCAGACCCAAACTTCAAAGAGCTTAAAATCTAAAATTAGGCATTGCAGCAAGAACAAAAGACCAGAGAAACAGCCAAAGCAGGTTTACTGGCAGAATCAGGAACTGAAAAGGAAGAGGGACATGCAGAGGAATGTGTAGTTACAGTTCAATTGAAGGAAAATCAGGGATTCCCAAGGCCAAATAATAGAAACATATCAAAATTGCAGCCAAGATCAGCACTGCAGTACTAGCAATACTAGTATCAGCCCATAGTTTGATGGGTTTCTATGATGGGGAATGAAAGAAAGTTGGGGGAAGCTCAGATAAACAAAGCCAGATACAGAACTGATGCCCCAAAATGAACAGAGATTTAGAACAGCAAGCACAGGAGAGCTGATGATATGTTTCAGCATAGACCTCAGTGGAATCAGAACTGACTCATCACATCTACAATCTGTAACAATCTTCATTTCTTTGCTGGGAATGGTAATGACATGCATGTTTTGTCTGCCATGAATACACATCCTGCTCTGTACAGATGCATGCTTCAAAGAAAACGTTTGCTCATCCTTGTGTGTCTCTCCCAATTCCACTCACCTTCCTTCTTTTTTGATATGACAAACATAGTGGCCACTCATTGTGGATGTTCCCATGTGGCTGATGAACCCAAACAGCTCGTATCCTGTTTAAGAAATACGAATGGGAGCATAAGTCTTCTATTGCTAACATTGCAATATGACTCCAGGGGAAACTTTCTTTCTAATACTGGAGAAGCGCTAAGCACTCCTAACTCAGACTCTGCATCCCCAAACACAGTTTCTGTTAAGACTGCAGCATATTCTCGCTTTAACTAGCGGTCAGATTCACTGTCAAACATCAAACCAATTCAAATCAAACCCACATAGATCTGTGCACATACAGCAGGGCTGTGATCACAGCCCCTACTAGGAAAGGGAAAACGGCAGATCCATTCCTAGTTCACAGAGAGCACCACAGAAAGTGCCAGATACGGAGTTCATTCTGCACACAAGTTAGCTATAAGTGTGATCACAGATCCCCTATAAATCAAACAAAAACCAGAAGTTTATATTTCAGCAGCCCACAAAAGAGAGGACAGGAAAGAAACCTCTTCCTTCAATACGAGGACAATTTTTGTGCTTAATGTCTCTGGAGAACTCAGCATTGGTTCTTGCTCCCCACCCATTCATGCCATTCACCCAAATTACCACCAAAAGTAAAAGGGTACCTTCTTTCAGGATATTGCATAAGGACAGGGGCCTGGATTTTGGTGGAGAGGGCTTTCTGGAGCCATTTTACAGTATCATGTTGGTTATCAGGATTTCAGGCACTCAGTAAATGGTCTCAGTCTATAAAGGCTAAGTACCACAAAAAATAATTATTCCAAATCTTTTTTTTTTTTTTTAACCTAACGATAATCAATGTTTCCCATGTCTCCAAGAGACTTAAGATTGGTCTTTATAATGTTACAAAACAAAGAAATGAATGTTCTTATACAATAACAGCAACCACAGAAACAAAAAATCAAATTGGCTGTTAATTTTTTTTTATAAGACCATTACAGTCAAGATCAGAGGTACAAGTTTAGAACAGACTACAGTTATTAGAATTGGTCACTAAAGACCCTTCAAAAAACGTTATATCCTTATGTTAGAACCACCGCTGAGCTTTTGTACTCTAGTGCTTTTACACTTACAATAGGTTCTTTGCCTACTTCACAACTTTGACTGCTGTACATTAGCCCCATCTTGTGGTTTATTTAGCAGTAGTATGACTGAGGATCTCAAAGAAAAAAACAAAAGAAAATAGCAAAGCAGTACACGCAGGATAACAGCTATACCTGCCATATTTAGAACAAGGAACTTGGTCGAAGGGATTATCAAATCTCCCATCAGACCACAGGAGGACAGAAACTCAGGTGGTCTGTAACAGCAGCGTTATCTTTAGGATGCTCAGCCTCTGAAAATTTAAACATTCTAGGTTTTCTTTGTCTTTTTGTCTTATAGCAACAAAACAAAAAGTAAAGCTAGGCCAGGAAAGACTTATATGCTGTGGCAACATGAAACTTGGACTCAGGTTATTCAGTGAGTCCAGGGAAAGAGTTTTCTGAGCAAACACAGCCCACCAAACAGTCCCACAGAATTGGACTCAGCCCCAGAAGCAAGACTGGAAGTAAATTGTCTGGATCATGTCCAAAAAACCACGATAACTACTTTCAAAACAGAAAAGAGTTCTACAAGTGGTGTAGGTGTGACGCAACAACATGACAGCCAGTTCTAAGCTGAAGAACTTACTTCCAGACCCATCTTTGATCCTGGGTCCCTCCGACCCTGTCTCTGCAAGGATATTGGCATTAGCATTGTTCTCCATATTCATCATGTCCAAAGCAGGCTCACTTTCTTCCTCGAGTTCAGGGTGGCTGAAGATCCATTCCAGTGCACGCTCCAAATTATTGTTCTGCAGGTCAAACAAGCAAAAGAGCAGCCTTTAATACATTCTCTAGCATCATGCTACCACTCAGTCTTTGAACAGAGTAAGGATCGTGTTCGACAGCACTTAAAATCTTGTAAAATACATACTCTACCTCCATCGAAATAGTATTCAACAAGCACTCTGCAGAAGCTTGACAGATGGAAAAGATTTCCTCCCACAGTTAACGCCCATGGCCCCCAGGTTCTCATCTTGAAGATTCATAGTCTTTAGGCACCCAGGTTGTTTCTCAATAGATGGTAAAAGAAGCTAAGTTTTCCTCACTTTCCTCCACATTTTAACGTTCAAGTGAAACACACAAACCACCTTCCCCACTCTAACCCAGACAAGTCAGGCATCCCACACTTTGCCAGAATAGTTCTATGTGCATCATCCACTAACTGCATTTTTATACACGTTTCAAAGGCATCTGAGCATGCACATGTACAAAACACATAATATGAAATGAAACCCAAGTGCTACCGATAACTCATGGAACTCACCGTTGCCTTCAGCGCTTGAATTGATAGATTCCTTTGGAAGCCCATGGAAATGATAATTGCAACCATCTCTTCGGGAGGTTGGTTATCTAGCCCAACAATTCCAAATGCAGCTGCTCCACTGGAAGCAACTTCTCCAAATGCAGGTGTGACCAATGGCTCAGCAAAGTCTGGAACAAACAAACATTCATCAGTTCCTTCTTTTGCCCCATTGAACTGGAAAGTCAACAACAAAACACAAACAAACGAACAGGACCTCAAAAGCAGTCCTGAAATCAATGTAAGTTCATTTCACTGGCCCAGTTGGGACTTAGATGTGCGGAAAGCCTTAAAAACAAGATGAACATGCACATTACAAAATATCTAGGTGGACAAACTCATACTGAGCAGGCTGGAACAACTTGGCACATCACAGAAGTGAAACAACTGCAGGAAAGTAGCAAAGATTGGTATGGAAGCAATGATGACACCAGAATAGTAGACAACCCAGCTGATATAGGTATAGATGTAAAATGAACTGATTCCATAGCTGAAATATATCAGTTAAGCACAAGTAAAACGCATTGCCCATTTACACAAAAGCCCACAGTGAAATGTGAACTCAACCAAATCTGGAATTTCCTGGCAAGGGAGTGCTCAGGTGTACTCAGTGCTGAATCATGGATCCAGACTTTGCATGGATGAAACACAGGAAGTAGAGAACATCTAGCAGCCCTGTCCATCAGTAGACAGCCCAAGTTCTAAGTACAGCGTGAATACTCTAGCCTGAGCTAGAGAAGGCTGATATGGAAGAAAAGCATCTGGACCACAGGATTCTTTGTACTTACACTTGATCACAAGTCAGCTTCCCCCTTAGCAGCACGGACCTAACCAAAGGGTGGAAAAGAGAGCTGGCCCACACCATCAGTGAGGACAGGAGACCATACTGCTGGTGTAGCTTAGGTTTGTTGTCTTATTCTAGGCAGAGGATGCCACATAAGGGTCAAGATCTGCATATCCCAGGAACAGCTTAGGAAAATTCACTCACACCTCCAGGCTTCCTGGGGTGGGGAAGGGGGCCATTGTTTCTGTCACACATTATAAAATTTCTACTAACTGCCAAAATACACAACTAGGAGTTGAGTTTAACTTACACCTTCCAGTCACTGACCTGGTTCTTCCATGTGTGCGATGATCCAGTTGAAAGCGACTTCAGCACCCAGGTTGCCTGTATAGTACACAGCTTTCCGACATGCTTCCAAAGGAAAACCCATCTCTGCCAGTTGCATAACTGAAGACTCATCAATATCTAGAGCTACAAGAAAGGACCTTCTAAAACATAAAAGTCTAATTTCATCCATTGCATAGTATTTCTTATTGTTATTCATGGTGCCACATATTACAATACATATCTCTCGTATTTGTTTTAGTACTGCAGTAAACCCACACCCATTAGAAAACAGCCTTGTACAAAGCATTATATTATATTTGCTATGGATTACTGGTAATCTTTTGTCTCAGTAATCTACATAGATCCTTATACCTTGATGAATTCCTACAGGGCTTTATTTATTAAAAGACTCACCACTGGATTTCAAGGGGTGAAGAAGTTAGGTGCTGAGCTTAGCTAGAGATGGCAGCCAAAAGCAATCACCTCTCTTAAAGGCAGGATCTTGCAGGTGAGAGAAACAACGGCTGCTGGATCTGGCAGTCTCCAGTTGAACTCCACCTCTGAATGACAGGGCCTGACAGCTTCAGCTGAGATCAGAGTCCAGAGGGAGCCAGGATCAAGTAGCTGTGACCCCCAGAACTGCAAGATCCTGCTGATGAGCAGCAGATAGAGGGGCAGCTCATAGTCTGGCTACACTGATGCTACTACAGACTCTTTAAGAGTCCTGCACACATGCAAGTAAATGCTGAACAAGTACAAAAATCAGCTGTTATTTAGAAGCATGCAGGGCAATACTCCATGCATCTCTGTGAGGACAGAGAATCCATTAGCTGAGAAAAAACATGACAATTTTTTAAGCAGCTAAAATACCAGTCTCAGAAAAATGAGATACATACACTCCACAAAATGGTTCGTCATACGATCTGAAAATTGAGAAAGGAAAAAACAGGGAAGAGGACTTATATGAAGGCTAAGTAGATTCATATGTGAACAACAATTCCATGTTTTTAAAGTCATAGAAACATTTGACCTCATACAGGCAGGGCATGTTCATCCTTACATCCCTGACGTTTTTGCCGTGAATTAGACCAGGGATTTCTGCCCAGTAATTTCCCTAACTCAACTCAGAGCAAAGTGTCATTGGTACTATAAACCAGTAGGAAATATAGCTGATGGCTGACCTAAACTGACTTAAGCAAGAATCTATTTTGTTATCAATAAGGTACCATCACCCATGCACTTACATTAAAACTAGGTCAGTACATTGAGCAAGAGGATAAAAAAGGATAGGCCTTGGGAAGGAACCCACAGATAAGGGACAAAATTAAAACCTTTAGAGAACTGAATTTTGCCATAGCCTTTGCTCTGCTACAGAATTTCAGGTACTAGCTACTTTTCACATGCGTACATCTTGATATTATACCACCACTATTATAAATATCCAAGCAAACAGGGCAATTGTTATGACAGTAGTTACATTACTAGTTTCCTATTAAATACTGAGGCACCCAAACTTAAGTCATCTGGAAGAAATTGCAACAACCTGGGTCTAAAGGTCACACTATAAAAATATGATTTCACTTGCTATAAAACATTTCATTCTCCAGAGAAACCCAGGGAACAAGGAAGGAGGATATTCTAATATTCTTTCTGAACTTTAGCGTAAAAGAAACAGTCTTCAGTTACAGAAGCACAGAGCTGCTTTTTTGTCCATAGCTCCAAAAGGTGAAGCTTAAGGAGAATCAGTACGTGCTAGAGGGAAAGGGGAATACAGGAGAGAATCAAGAGAGAAGTAGTCAGTAAGTACCTTTTGGGTCATCAGGAATGATAATGGGAGGAGCAATGTCTGGAAGTTCCTCTTCTCCTGGCTGGAGACCCCTGGCCCGAAGGTGGCTGATATCTAGGAAATCTGGCATGTCTATAGAAACATCTACAAAAGCAGAGAAACAGGCTAAGCTTATGAATCCAGCAAAATGACCTCATGGTGCAACCTACCCCTTCAGGGAGGGGACTCTGGTACTCAAGCTACAAACACAGCCAGGATTTTCCTCCTGAAAATGGTTATTTGATAAATTCCGAACACTAAAGCACAATTTAACTAGGAGGTCAGACTCCATGAAACTGTATTTTAACTCCACAGACCTAATGGATTGGTTTAATTTGTCATAAAAGAAAAGAAGATTCAATTGGGATCTTCACAGTATAAATTTGAGACTCAAGCCAGGTCCTCATTATACACCAAAACGTGTACACCTTATAGGTTATCTTGGATAGAATGAGAAAAAGGTAAATGTAAAAGTCACATACCAAGCTTTTTGGGTACCCAATCAAGGCCAAAGGTGAATTTCTTTATCTGCACCACTAAGTACTCAGGAAACGAGGCAAAACGAGAAGTCCTGGGAAGCACAAGAAATACAAGTCAGTGAAACAAGGCAACAATCACAAGCAGCACAGATTTCAGTACCTCATGCACACTGCGATGAGTAACTTTAGCCCTGAGTGAGATGAATAGTGATGGATTTTATAAACATAGATGTCAAAAAAATGTTTTCAAGTACAGTGGAGAAGTATGGTAGTAGCTTTCCATGCATTCATATCCTGAACATCAGCCCAACTCCGCTTGTAGGAAGATTATAGAAAACAACTACAAGTAATATTAAACTTGCTTACTCAAGTTGTTCTGAAGTTGAATGTGAGGAAATAAATTTTGAATGACATATTAGCTAGAACTTCAGGGCATGGGCTTAAAACACAGGTTGGACAGAATGGAGTAACAATTAAATCTGCGGTTTTTTCACTCCCTTTCTAGTAACAGTAGCATTGTCCATGAGGTATCAGTCCACTTATAAAGCATTTCATCAAGCAAAGGTAAAAAAGCCGTCATTTGTAGTTTTTCACATGAAAAGTGCTATATAAAAAAACCTACACGATATTGTTTTTGAGCTACTATGATCTTTATCAAAATAGAGGATGACTCTTGAGTTTAAGGGGATCCCTGATATTTGCCCACTTAGCAAAAAGAAAAAGTTTAATCTTGAACACAAAGCAACATTATATGTACCACCATTCTCCTCCTCTATGCTCCCATTTTCCCCACATTTAATCTCCTGCATCCTTCCCTTTACCTTCCATTCACACATGGCATCCTTTCTTCTAATTCACCTAACTCTCTGGATAAAATACAGTAAATGCATCATAAATGTAAGGCCTTCCTACCATACTATAAATAACTACTTTCTAAATTATTGTTAGCACCACCTTGCAATTTTAGTAACTTTATCATCTGCAGCACGAAACTTTTGAATTTTAAATAGCAAATTATTCTTCATCTTTCAATGCTTTTAAAGACCTAGGGGATGAAGAACAGCTGAATTACAAATTAACCCTGGATCTATTTAAAAGACTAGAATGTTCTTCCAACATATTCACAGTTAATACAAAAAACCTTTTAGATTTCTGCCACATTTTTCTCCACCATGTGCACTTGTCTCCCAATTTTCAATACAATGTCAGTGAAACTGTACGCTAAGACAGCAATGAGTCATTGATATGTTAAGTGATCTAAAAACAGAAGGTACCTAGCCACAGCAAACCAGTTGCAGAGCCCAATTTTCAACCACTCCTTGCTGCTGACATAGAAATGGAACTGGATAAGTGACTAACTCTTGTTCTCAGCAAGAAATACTGCCCTTGAAAATTGCACTGATCTCTACCTTCCGTCTTACTACTTCTTAATGCTTTTTTAAGCCCCAAATGTTCTTGGTTCTTTTATCCACCTGACTATAAACACAGAAGATGGGTTCCTTCTTTTATATGTCCATCTTGTATCATGGCCCCATGTAAGTGACAGCAAACTTAACAGATGCAACCAAACACTGTAGCATACAAAGATGACGTGTTGAAATCCAAACACAAACAAGAAATAACATAAAACATAACAACATAAAACCAAAGTTTTCAGCATAGCACTTCACAAATGCAAAAATTTCCACCCATCTAAAGAACTTCCTCACAAGAAACACCAACTTCGTTTACTTCACCCTGTTTTGTTGCCACACAATGCCCTTTAACATTTTTAGTCAAATCAAGACATCAGACTAAGCACAGAGATCCAGACTGTATCTCCTACTACACAGTACAGAGCTCTATCACTAGTTAATACATAGGATGCAATTTTAAAACGTGGGCAGACAATTAAGCTACAAGCATTTGAAGTTCAAGCTCTTAACAACCAGACCGCATCACCTCTTGAAGTTTGACAGTTGAGAACAATTTATTTCCTGCTCAGTTGGTCATTACCACTCGTCAGGCTTGATCTGCACATTACATTTATAAGCCCCAGCACTAATACAATGCCAAAGCCCACTATGTCTTTGTCTATTTCTCTCTGCATCATGTCCAAGCGAGATAAGCACAGAGCACTACGATATAGGTTTTTAATAGGCAGCCAGACACACACTCACTTAACTCCTGCAGATTTTGCTTGAAGGGCACTGCTCCAGAAATCCTCTACATTATTTGGTTCAGAAAAGGCCTGCAGACACGCACTAAATGGGATCTTGGCACGGACAAGCTCTGGTGGAGCTCTCCTTGCAGCTTCTGCTTCTCGCCTCTTCAATTCATAGGCAATTAATTCATCTGAGAAATATACATGACACTAAAAGCTAAATAAAGATTGTTGTGGTTATGAAGTCCCTCACCAGTCTTATTTTTGCAAGTTTTAGAAATACAAAAACCTACTTATCAATAAAACTTTTACATGGCTTTAACTAGACATCAAATCTTTTTGTATGCATTCCGGTCAGGAGCTACACTTACAACCACATCTCTTTTTTGAAGGTTTCTGTTCATGGTGAAAACACAGAACTGGAAATAGTGGGCAACAGGCAATTAAAACCTTGCCATGACAGACAGAATCCTGTGTTAATAGTAACACCAAATACCACTTTATCAGCTCAATCTGACTTTGGAAAATTATTGCTGTCTATCTGTGTCATCTGACTTTCTAGACAGGACAGGATTATGTATGAGCTCGAGAGTCCTGACACCGGCAAGTTGAACAGCGTGATATGATAAATTCATAAACTAATATACCTCCTGAGCCATTATGTGGAAATAACATGCTCTTTTATAAGCAACAGAATCATCACTGAAACTGATGAACAAAGAATGCAAAGTTCTCCAAAACTTATATTTTCAAATCAAAATGGTCTTTTTAAAATACATCATCCAGTTCAAGGAGTTGTGGGCTAGGTGACAAACAGTAGGTAGAATTCTGTCTTGTGTTATTTCAAAGGATCTGATCAAATAACCAGAATAGTTCATTCTGACTTTAAAATATTTTAAATTTTGAGATTATAAAGGAAACCAGAGGCACATCCCCCTTCTAGTGTTCCTGTGATGTCCCCTTCACTTCCACCTCAAGCATACATTTATTTACCTCAAGCACACATTAGCAGGACTAGGGAAGTGATTGTCCCCCTGTACTCAGCACTGGTGAGACCACACCTCAAATACTGTGTTCAGTTTTGGACCCCTCACTACAAGAAGGACATCGAGGTGCTGGAGCGTGTCCAGAGAAGGGCAACGAGGCTGGTGAGGGGTCTGGAGAACAAGTCTTATGAGGAGCGGCTGAGGGAACTGGGGTTGTTTAGCCTGGAGAAAAGGAGGCTGAAGGGAGACCTCATCGCTCTCTACAACTACCTGAAAGGAGGTTGTAGCGAGGTGGGTGTTGGTCTCTTCTCCCAAGTAACTAGTGATAGGATGAGAGGAAATGGCCTCAAGTTGCGCCAGGGGAGGTTTAGATTGGATATTAGGAAAAATCTCTTCACCAAAAGGGTTGTCAAGCATTGGAACAGGCTGCCCAGGGAAGTGGGGGGGTCACCATCCCTGGGGGGATTTAAAAGACGAGTAGATGCGGCGCTTAGGGACATGGTTTAGTGGTGGACTTGGCAGTGTTAGGTTTACAGCTGCACTTGATATTCATAAAGGTCTTTTCCAACCTAAATGATTCTATGATTTATTATCTTAGTCTGCAAGACTCTTCACCATTGATTGCAGGCACAACCAAGATTTGTCATTAACTCCCTCCTGCTCCCAAGTCTTCCAGCCTCCTCAGCCATTTTCTCCTTTAAAAACAAGTATGCTTTCCCAGGCAGCCCCCAGGCATGAAAGTATCATTCCTGTATATTAAATCAACGTCCACCATTTCACCTTCCTTCCCTCCTCTCCTCAAGCCCAGGATATCCAAATTGTGTATTTTGGCTTTATAGATGACAAGCTATCTTATACCCCTATTCTCTATTATCACATTAGATCTTATAATCTGCTGCTAACCAACACAAAGTTGATTTGGGTTTTTTTGTGTGTGTATGTGTGTGTGTGTTTGTTTTTACAAGATATTCATTAGCTAGTATGTTCAGTTCCTTTTTTAGCATTAAGAAGTTTTTATATACTGGTTCACTGTCCAGGACAAAGGAAATCCATTCCTAATGGGGATCTTTGGGCACACACACGCACAAAAAACAAGGGTAAATAAATTGTATTACAAGTGGTGTGGCACATCCCTGGGTCAAATCCAGGTTAAGGTTGTAAATCACAAATCTCTGACATCTTTATCATACAAACTGCTACCATTCTTGGTGATATATTCCTGAGTGGTGACACTTAATGGTGGTCCCACAGTCTGAGAAGAAATCTGTCTGAAAACTTGCCAAGAGTATCCAGGTAGAATCCTTCTTCCCTAAAAATATAATCAGGGACAGTAAAGCCACAAGCTGATGTGTGTTTAAAATCTCCTTTAAAGAAAACCAAGCCAAGTAACTTTCCCCTGATCAGTTCATTGGTTTGATTTGCCACAAGACCTTGAACCATTCTATCCATACAAAGAGACCACATGGAGATGAGAACTTCAATCCCTCATGGTTGAGAGAGTCACCAGAAGGTCAGCCAATGGACCAGTTTCTTTCTTTACCTTTGTTCGTTGCTGCCTCCATGGCAACAGGTAACTGCATGATATAGTCCACCCTCTCTGTGTAGCGGACCTTTCTGGACTGGCAGCATTGTGTGCGTTCTTCCACCAGGAACCGGAAAACATCACTAGGGTTTTCTGAACCTACAGGGTTCCTCTGAAAGGAATATTAGATCCAATCATTTAAGTGTCAAACATTAAAGTGATCAGAGAACCCAAAGGCTGCTGGTTGTTTTATGGCAAGCACAAAGATGCCAATCTTGCACCCAGATCTGACAGCTCAGCTTGCATTTTGTTGCATGCAGAACTTTTGCACCCACAGAGAATCCCACTGAAGTCCACAATGTCTGCTGCATACACAGCAGAATCTTTCTACACATAGTCACTTGCAGAATATGTACCTAATGAATCTGACTAAGTCAAGGTGAACAGAAGAAGGTAGGAAGGTGGCAGGTTATAATAAAGATAGAAAGCTGAGGTAAATAACATGGAGGATCCTTTCAGCAAATAGAATTGCTCTTACCACTCCGAATCTGCACTGAAACAGAACAAGCAACTTGTAGTTCATTATCCAGATGGGAATGTCATACAAATAATATACCTCCTCTTTATTGTTCATGTTAATGTCTGTTATCAGGCAAAAAACAGAAAAATGTCTTTAACCACCCTGTAATCAGTACATGCGTTTTGGGATGTGGAACATTATGCATGCAAATGTAAATAACTTCATCTAGACTGTAACGCATGAATAAACACACTCAATTCTTGGGGAAAATGGGAAAAAGAGGGAGGAAGGATGGACAAGAAAGAAATGCTTTAAATCAAAACTGCATGTATTTGTAAATTTCCTTCTTAGAATAAACCACCCTGTAATCAGTACATGCGTTTTGGGATGTGGAACATTATGCATGCAAATGTAAATAACTTCATCTAGACTGTAACGCATGAATAAACACACTCAATTCTTGGGGAAAATGGGAAAAAGAGGGAGGAAGGATGGACAAGAAAGAAATGCTTTAAATCAAAACTGCATGTATTTGTAAATTTCCTTCTTAGAAAGACAGCATTAAAATTCACAGTACTGATTCTTTTACACACAGCATTGAGCTGGAGCTCAGTGGAACTAACATTTTATACAGAAATATTCAACTGACAAATAGTCACTTTGCTTTCAGCAGGGGAGTCCTTCCTCCTATTATGATTCAATGACATACAGCTGGGATTTGTAGAAGAACTGGACATGGTAATTAGTTTGCTCCCAACAATGGTATAAATTTGGAATAATAATAATAATAAAGACTTCAATATGATAAAGAAATGGATAGCATGTAATCATAAAACAAACAGCAATTTAAAAGGACAGTCACATATGTTTATAAATCTTGTATCTTGTACAGTGATGCTTGACCTTTCTATATCTCTTGCAGTCGCTATCAGCGGCATTGGCCCTGTGTGTGGTCATGCAATAGTCTGAAGTAAAGAGAAGGGAGAATTAAAGAAACAAATATTTCTAAACTAAAATCCATTTAAATTAGTGCCATTTTCTACATATCCAAGGCTAAAAAGAATATAATTAAAAAAAAGAGCCACTCATAACAGCTCTGCCCTCATTGTCTAATATAATCAGGAAAAGAAGCAGTAATTCAGATTTTCTCACCTCTACTAGATTTATAAGATGTAGGAAAAATTCTTGTGCGTCTTGTTGTCTATTAGAGGAAAATTCTGGGTGGCCTTTACTTATAAATGCTTTAAACATTCGGGGAGATATTCCATTGTGTTGAGGCTAAATAAAAGAAAGAGAAACCTTTTAAAGAAGGATTTTTATTCATTCCTGGACCAAATATCCCAAAGTCACTCCACTAGATCTATCTACGGCCCATTTCTGCCACTGGAGACATGATAGTTTCAGTTTCATCCAGTTTTCCATTGTAATAAAAATGGAAAGGGTCCTGAAACATGATTTGGGGGGTTTTAGAATATGTTTGATGACATAGTTCCTACAGCGTTCACTCTATCTGATTTTTCTACGGCATTTGCAAGTTAAAAGAGATTACTGAAGGTTTGCTAAAGGTTAGTAGTTTTCAGAAAGGCTAAATGCCTACACTGTTTTTTAACATTTGACATTCCTTTCAGAACCCTGTTCCACGTAAAAGTACATGGGCATTGAAGCACTTTGGTATATCAGCTAACAGCTTTACTCAGGTCAAAACTTTTCCAGAGATCTCTACAGAATCAAGCAGAGAACAACTAATGTGTGCAGCAGGCATTCCCAGATAGGTTGTTAAGAACAGACATGAATTTGCAATTTGCAGGTGTTGGTCATGTTGAAGGACCAGAACATACTGCCTTTAGCCATTCAGTTACATGAGTACGAAACTACCCGAAATCAGAAAATCTCTAGCTTCCAGGAGAGTCCTAGTTTTGACTTTCTCACCGTCTGTACCAATTTAAGAAGCCTCCCCAATCACCCCAAATTTCATCCTCAAGATAACACCAGCTATTATCCCTTTTAAATAACACTTTTGAAAGGGTCAGAATCTTTTACTCAGATTTGCCCTCATTCTCCATGAGACCAAATAATTGCCAAGACAATCCAAGCAAAAGCGTAGCCTTTAGGATATGTCAGAGGCTGTTAAATACTCAGCCAATCTCATTCTTTACTACAGTTGCGCTACCATACCAATATAAAAATAGAAAAAGCAGCATGAAATGGAAGGCATTTAAAACACACAGTGAAAGAGCAAAATTTTATTCTTGGTTTCACCAGGGTAAGGTATTCCTAGACCCACTGAAATCAGAAGCAGATTCTCAATTTTCATGCTTTTTGAATTTCTGGTAGTACACCAGTAACCACATTAGGCTAAGATGCTCTTTAAAGGCTCTCATAAAGAGACAGAGTCTCAGTATTGCTTGAACAAAGAGAAGTTCTAGGGATTTCTGAATCTTGGGTTATATATCACTTCAGTGTCCTCAGCTGCCTTGCATCAAAGCTAGGACTGGGGAGAGAAATGTATAAACTAGCTCAAATTACTATATACCAGGCTTCTTTCTATGTCAGAAGCAAGAATACGGCAAGGTGGCACATTTGCCCTGATGTATAATGCAATGAGTTTGGAATCAAGCCTTGTTTCCATCTATACACTTTTTACGCAACCATTTGAGCAGGAAGAAGAGAAACATGCCATGTGTGACAGTCTATAGAAGAGGATCAGATCTTGCCCTCTAAACCCTTTCCACCTCAAGGACAAGAAAAAATAACAGAAGAAATAGCAAAGCTCTAAACAGAGAATCAAGTCCTAGCTGATAACCCTTTAGGCTTTCAGCCTGTTTTTAATGTTAAAGTGGGTCCAAGAAAACTGCTGCCATTTCCACACTAAACTCCTGTGGTGAAAGATTTTAGCTCCACAGTACCATGAATATTTATAGAGTACCTAGCATACTTTCCCCATCAACAGTTGCAGAACAGTTTAGCTAAATATAGACTGTGCTGGACCACTGCAGATCTCTCATTAATGCTTTTACAGGCAACAACTCCCAAAAACTTTGGATGAATTCCAAAGACCCAGAAAGCTACAGAACTTCTTTGCATGTAGGAGGGGAAAAAAAGGTGAAAGAATAAAACTAAAATGAATAATTGATTTTATAGACACAAAGCAGAAGCACTTGAAAATGCTGAAGGCCTGAAATCCTATGCAATTATATTTATTGTAAATGTCAGTACAACTCTCTGGATGACAAAGTACTATCTGTATGTATACCAGTATTATCGGGGGGGGGAAGACACCAAACAAAAAGCACACACCCAAACCGATAAAACAGATTTGTATGCCCAGAGTGAGGGAATGGAGAAAATATCTATACTTGATTTTTTTTTTCCTAAATAAATCTTCAATACAAGAAAGAACAAAAGCAGTAAAAGCTGTTTCAAATCCTAATACGTGCTATGAATTGCTTGATAAGGAAGTCATCTGATGCATGTAACTACACCTTTATTAAACTGAACTTATGAACAACACAAGTATTGTTAAATGCCAGTAGATGGCTATTACTACCTGACAGAGTTTTATACAATCTGTCATGAAAAAGTTCTCAATATCTCATTGCTAGTAGTGGCTGCTGGGCTAAACATGGAGGTGTAGCTTTATTTGAATGGTTCAAGTCCCTGAACTTCCAGCACATTATTCTTCATTCATATCCTGTATGCGTTTAAGAAAGCAGGTCAGTCAGTATACATAATTTACTGTGAGGAGTCTGTGAAATCTATTCCACTATTCCTTAGTCACAGTGATGCGCTGCTAAGTTTTAAACTTTATTTAAAGGAACCAAGCAGGATTCATTCATTGTTCCAAAACAATGAATAGCTACTGTACAAAGCAATTACTCAGGAGATAAGGACTTTCAGATCATGCAAACTACTCTGTACCAGATGCTCCATCTTTGTCCAAAATCCCTTTGGCATTCTGACTTCAGAAGGAGAAATTCCTGTATCAATAACTGATCAATGAAGGTAGAAGAAAGTATCTATTTCCATGGAAACTATCAGCATGATTCTGTGACAGAAGCATGCATGACTTCTACTGTGTACAAAACTACAACTTGGTGTCAGAGATTCTTTCTCCATGAAGACAGCTCTTTTCTACAGATTATTATTTCAGTATTGGTTATTAGTTGACCTTTCATTTCTAAATATCCCATCTGTGGAGTCTGTGGTTTGACTCCACATGCTGCTTGGGGTCACAATAACAGAGGTTGGCAGGGACACAAATATATTCTAGGTCCAGTTTTCCCAGCATCAGTCTAAACAAGATGTTTCAAGGTAGATGGTTTGAATAGTAAACCAAATCTAAAATAACAGATTCGCTTAGGTAGACAATATTGTCCCAATAACTAACATTTTGCTTAAGACAACTGTTAATTGGATGACCCTAGGGAAAACAAAGGCAATTCCAAAAGCAGCAGTGTTTGAGCAGAGAGGCAAAATCTGAACTAATCTCACTCTCCAAAGGCTGATGTAAACTTAAATCAACTTACAAAAAGAGAAGAAACTTTTCCATCTCACCACTAAGCTACCCACAGCTTTTCTTCTTCACAAAAGCAAGCAAGAACAGGTAAAAAGATAAACCAGTGAATCAAGCGGTGCCCATGAACCTTGTTAATACAAATAGATCAGTCAGGCCTTCGTCAAAAATTATCCTTACTGCTAAAACCAAAAGACTGTCGGACAAAGAATATGAAGAGGCTTTCTGATGACTGTGAGAGCGAATGTATTCATTGCTGGATGAGGAAGAAGCACAGACGGATGAAGACACAGGTCTATGGATGTTACAATGCCAACACATGCCTTAATGATTTTTGCAGCATAAGAGAAAAAAGCTACTTTCATGTTGCAGAAGAACAACACAACGGCAATACGAAGATTACAGAACCAACAATACTGGAGTTCTCGAAGCTAGATAGATATTGTGAGCTAAGCATCTGTTTTGCTGCAAAATTACTGCAAATTACAGTAGAAATAAAAGTCTCCCACTGGTAACACTATGACAGAGAAGTAAAATTCTATATTACATAAACATGGGAAAAAAGGTTGTTTCATCCTCCAATTCCTCTTTCCTTTGTGTCTAGCATGTTAGCTGTACCGTACTTGCCCCTCAGTATACCTTTGTTCTGAAATTGCCTATTCTGAGAAAGCTAATTCCAAGGTTTTTTCTATTGTGAATTATTATAAATCAGGATATATACATTGTTCTCCCCAGGCTGTCCAGCAATTAGAGTTTCAATTTATATCCAAAACCATGTATACCACTGTGTTTCCATGATAGATCCCACTGGCACAGACATGCTTCTACATGATTTCTGTACCATGAAATACTTGAATAAAGCCCCAGTGGACATGGCTCTGCATGGCCCCTCCTTCATCTACATGAAAGCCTCCAGCACCACTTAATCTTGCATTACCTAGACAGCTTCTCCTGAGATCAGGTGGAATATTGTCAGACACTTCCTGGAAACAACTCTTTAGTTCTTTATACTTCTTTCTGAAATTTAAAAAGGGTTTAGGAGTTTGCTTCCAAATACTCAGGACTCTCTAGATAACTTTTTTTTTTTTGTTCCTCAGAGAATATAAACGTAAGTTGCAAGTTCTATGAACTTTTGCACTCCTCACTGGAGCAGCAGGATACTTTATTAGCAGAACCAATGGTTGCTTTAATGCTTTGCACAAATAGCCCCTGACTAATATATTCCTGACTAGAATCCTGCACATTCCACCTTGCTAAGCAGACCATGCTGGATCCATGTGTTCTTCAATGCCCGGCACCTGTTCCCTTTTCTCAGGATATCACTTTTACCTAGTTACCAGGCTGCACAAACTCAGTCAAATACCTTGTGTTCTTCTTTCATCACCTGCTCAATAAGCTCAGATTTCATGGGTGGCTTAGAGTATTGGCCTGAAAGGAGGCCGTGTCCCAGTTTAGCCCTGTAGGGAAGAAAATGTCAGGGTGGAAACAAACGTGAGAAAAACAGAAAAGAAGAGAAGATTTTTATTCCAAGCAAAAGTTTACTGTCTTTGACCCCCGATGAAACATCGTATCTGCAACTAAGCGGGCAAACCTTCCCATTCTACCTTGCGCCATATTTCACTTTCAAGCCCATGCAGAGATGTTCTTCTGCCCTGCCATTAAATCATTTAGATTCTATTTAACTTGACCAAGTAAACCACTGAGAAATGTCACTTACATCTGAGTGTTGAAATCTTGTGTTGGATCAAGAGGAGAGTAGTCAAATATTCGTGGAAGGTTTCCCACATACCTGGGCAACAAGAACAAAACAGAAACATTAAAATATTGCAGCTAGATTTACTCAAGGATATCCTAACAGATCCTCAGCCCTCAGCAGTAATATAATCAGCAGGCTTCCTCTGGGCTAACAAGTCAAATTTTGTATCATAGCAATGACTTAATCTATCCCTACTGAGTGCTTCTATCATGGAAAAATAATAGTAAAGAAATTAGGAAATGGACATTTAAGTTTTGCTTAGAAGCTTCTAGCTATAAAGGATATGGTGCTGTTCATCTGGAATTTAAATTCTATTCCTTGATCTTGAAATAGCTGCAGGATAGTGTTGCTCAAAACCATAGAGCTGGCTTGAGAACCGATGTACTTTCTACTCCTAACCGACATCGCCAAATAAATTCCAAATTTGTATCAGGACCAAAACATGTAAAAAAAGTTTCTATTGAGTTTCTTCAGAGAAACAAAGGCTAACTCCTGACAACAAACACTGAGGTATATATTGTTCTAGCCAGTGTGTTGGAAAGTGAAGCATTTAGTAGCACGCTATCTGAGCATTGCTTCCCCTGAGCACAAGAAAACCAGGCTAGGTAGGTATGGCCATGCTGAAAGAACACATCTAATTTCTGTCTGGTCCCTCTTTCATCAAAGATCTCCGCTACTTTATTGATACTAAGTGCTCCAAGTAACTCCAAGGACCATGCTATGGAAAACAACCTCCCTCAGTAAAGTCCATTTTGATATTTTTTGAAAATGCAGGTAGAAAAGCTGGCACTTAATGAATCTACAGACTATACTCCATATGGCTTACAAAGTAAACAAACACAAGTTTTCTCCTCCTTCTTCTCCAGAAGGCAATTGCTACATGAAAACCTGGGAGGCTTCCCAAAAATCTAAAAGCCTTACTTCCAGCACACACACTACTACTGCTATGGAATGAAAGAGCGCTCTGAATTTTATTGCAAACCATATACTGTCCTTTATAAAAAGGCTTCTCTCCTTGGAGTGATGTGTTCAGTTTTGATCAGTCAAGAATATTTCATATTCTTCTGTTGTGCTTATGATGGACAGCAGGCAGACTCAAACAAAATTCTTTTGTCCTTTTACTCTTAATTGTTCAGTGGAAGAATATGCTCACACTGCCCTTTTCATGAAATGAGATTTTTTTTTTTTTAAATTAGAATTTTAATTAAAAAATGCCTCTGATAGTTTCCCTCTTCTTAGCCAGACCTGCATGCAAAAGGTGCACTGCTTTTCACTAGCATGGATCAGTATTAACATGTTTGTGCCAGTTCAGTTTTTTGCACAAATGACACTGGAGCAATAGAATGACTCCTGCAGCTATACAAAAGCATGGGCCAGTACAAAAAACCCTAATGTGATACTGATGATACCGAGATAAATATAGAGATATGTATATAAAAAGCAGAGACAGAGCAATCAAGTTTACAAGGTGGCATATGATTTCCCACCACTGAAGCTAAGTGAGTAAGTTCTGATTTCAAAGGCAGACTGGGTTTTGTGTTCCAACTTTTTGCAGAACAGAACAATACAATCATTAAATCCTCTAAGTGGCCACTGAACTGACTGAAAGAGACTTGTTTGCAGGTGAGACAAAAATTAAAATACCATTTTGCTTAGAAAAACAAGAGATTGAGGAATGCAGCAGCTAGTGACAAGAACTAGTTTGAAGCTACTTACGCTCGCTGGAACTCTGGGATGCTGAAAATGGCTTGCATGACAGCACTGAGGTAACAGCTATTTCCCAGGTTCTTCATGCCGGTGTATCCTGGGCCATACATGGGCTTGAGTTTCACACCAGCTTCCTGAATCACTTCCCATTCAGAGACTCTTGGTTTTATATCATTATCTCTTAGCCCATTCTCTGTCTGAAGGCAACAAGATTATTTTTTTTAATCATCTGTTTAACTTCTGCAACAATTATGTTGCTGCTATCATCATCACCAACTTTGCGATCTATACTCTAGAAAAGAAGAGCCAAATCAATGGGCAAAGGGAGGTAAATCCTGCATGTAGGGGAGAAGATCAGGGTCAGAAGGCTAGCAGCTTGTTCTTCCAATATACCTCTTAGCTCTTTACCACAGACCACCGGCTCTTGGAGTGTTCCTAGTTACGACCTCAATGGGAGCTTCACTTCTCTCAGGGCTGTGACCTCAAGCCTCAGCATCAAAACACTGCATTTTTTCAGGTTTCATATTCCATTTGTAATGGCCAGGAACAGCTGCTGCTGTAGAAGCTGGTCCTAGCAAACAAACCAGATGAAAAGCTGCAGATCCAAGAACTCTTCCCTTCTTCCAAATGGGAAAAGCCAAAATTTGTGATGCTCAAGTTTCTCCCCTTTACAGCTCAGCTTTCAGCTTGTAGGTACAGGTCACTACAGTGTCATTTACTGCTAGCACTACTCCGCCACTTCAATAAGAATTTTTCAGACTGGTCTGAAGACCAGAGGCAAAAACTTTGCAACGGCTGAGACTGAGTTTTCAAGGCTGCTGAGTAAAACAGGTTTTCCAGAAAGACCACTGGATGAAAGAGACTTTTTATTCATGATATTGGCAAGGAAATTAGTATACCAAAAATATTATTAGTACCACAAAGGCTTTTGAAATTGCAGTTTAACTCTTCTCTATCATTTTAGAGTTGTTATTAGTTTCCTCTCCATTTGGAAAATGAAATACGCTAGTATTAGGTTTCTTCATTTTTAACAGTTTTCTTGTTCAGGTTCTCAGATAGTGATACTAGGCTATGTGCTTCAGTGAAAAAATAAAAACACCTGCCTTTATAACCATATTCCATTCAGACTTCTTGATCATTTAAACAGAACTGGAATCAACACCCAGTAAAATACAAATTATTAAAAGGACTTCTCTACTAATACAGACCAGCAACAAGTTCAGGAACAGAACCCTTTTTGCCCCGGTCCCTTTCTAGTGTACCACACCATAGACCATGCTGTTTTCTAGACTTGAGAGAATGTATTTTTCCATTTTATAATGTATTTATTAACAAGACCTAAACTGAAATTTATAACTTTGCATAAAGAACCTTTCAACCACTTTTTTACTTATCCATTGCTTAGCTTATTTTTGCTAAGATTTGTGTCTGTTTACACATGCAATAGGCTTTCCTTCACTCACTGCAATTAAATATTCTAGATATTCTTCTCTAATTAAATGAGGTTTTTCATCTTGAAGGAAAATGGTGCATAACACACGAGAAGTGAAACATGTAAACTAAAGACTACAAAGGAACTCTTTTGGAAGGCAATTGTCAGATTTGACAGTAATGATTCACTCAGACCTCAGAAAATAAAACACGAACTGGCTGGCTGAACTTTACAAAACTAAATACTATCGTAACAGTCTGAAGGAATCACACAAATACAAGCTACAAGTATCATTCTTCTCCTGTTTCTCTCCCACCCCCAACTAAACAAACAAAAAGTAAATAACAAACTAAATAAAAGACGGATTTCCTACCACTTGCATCTGCAGCATATCAATTCCGAAGTGTGCCAAATGTTTTGCTATATGTGGATCTAAAACCGGCTCCTCTTCATCAAAGGAATAGACATCTACAAAAGCAGAGAGAAACAGAGGAGCTGCAGTATCAAGTATTATCCCTTCTCTGTTTACCAGCATTGCATTCTCAGTACAGGACTGCCTATATAAGATGCCTTATTCATATTCTCTAAGTTTAGTTACGACCAGCAGAAAAATGCAGACATCCATTTAGCTCAGTAAATATCTTAAATATTCTCAACACAATCACCTCAACTACTCTCCTCAAAAGAAATTACACGCCCTCACAGTACTAAAACCTAAGAATATTTATAATGATCATAATGTTTCCTCCCAAAAAATAAGAAACTTGTAGGGAAAACAAGGAACGGGGCATGCAAAATTCTCAGGTATGTGGCCAGTCCACATTTTGAATATGACAACAAGAGATTCTGAATTTTTGTGGACCTACTAGATACAGGCAGACACATTATAACTGTGAGTGTATGGAGCCAACTGACTACTGCCACTGGTATTCTAATTTCTAGTACAGTTTAAGGAATCCACTTAAGCCCTTTTCCCACAGAAATGCAGGGAGAACTGAGAAATTCTTTATTAGAAATAAAGAGGCGTTTATTGGATTGGACTTGGAAGATTAATCTTGTGGTTAGGGAGAAAGGCCAATTTTGTGACTAAGGTGTCTTGCTTTATTGTATGGGAGATCTAGATTTCAGTTCTAGCTCTATGATAGGTCCTTATGGCCTTTGTAAGAGCCCATAAACATTTTGGCAGGGCAAAGTTCAAACTGTGGAGGGAAGCAATATGTCTAGTGATGATATTTTCATTATGAAACCAAGTTTAATAAATCCAACAGAAGGACAAAATGGTTGAGAAAGAACTCATTTTTAGTGTTTACCAAGCAAGCCCTGTAACGAAGCTGAGTCCAGAGCAGGCTTCACCTACTTGAGCAAATAACAATAAAGCTGCAGGCATCATGAAAGGATATGAGTGATAAGACATGCACTAGTAAGACTTGAACAGGCCTTCCATCTTTTCTCTTCTCTGGCCTGTTCCTCTGTAGTGAACAACTACTTCTCTGCTTCGGTCTCTACTCATACCAAAATCCAGAATCCCTCTGCCAGTCTGCCTGCACTTCTCTCAGCTAAGTTTCTTTCATGTCCAGCAGAGTTTCTCACAGTGACCTTGCCCCGTATGACCAGATCTAGGCTGACAGAGAAATCTTAGCCAGGAGAAAGATTAAACAAACTCAGAAGAAGAGAGCAGGAACCCAGATAAAGGCAGTTCACAGCACAAATACAACTTCTGAAGGGTCCTTACCCTGCCCCTGACTCAGCCCATCACCTATGTAAGACTTCAACAAAAAAGCAGTCTCCTTGAAGGCTGCTAGTACCAAACCCACACTGAAATGATAGGTTGAAGGTTAGCCAAGACCTCAAAGACATAACACAACTTTTACAATTTACCAGCCCTATGAAAAACTTTAACTCTCTCAAACCAGGGAATTGTGCTTGAGTCATGCTGCCAGCTGCTGATTAGCCATCAGACCCCCTATTAACATTGTTCCTGATGACCAATGGCATGTGTGTGGCTGTAGCTGCCCATCTGCTGGAATTCCACTGTGTGGTAGCAAGCGTGCCCAGAAGACATGACTGTTCATCCACACACAAAAAGATCAGAACATTCCCATAGTTTTCTGGTGAGGTCACAGCACAGGCAAAAGGTCCTGTAAAGTTCAAACACTTAATGGAGTGAGATTACACATCAACTGATCTTGGGTGACTACTTTCAACGTGGAAGCTTTGATTTTGTTTTTCCTCAGCTCTGGCAACTGAAGAGAGCGCAGCCATCTGGGACTACTGACCCAGAGCAGCAGAAATGGAACACAAGACACATTAATCTTTGCTCAAGCCCAGCTCTTGTGTCATATACTTTAGTACTTTCTGCTGTGTAGCCAACTTAAATTCATGGGAGAGAGACAGAAGTCACTTATTTCAAAAAAATCAAAGAGCAGCAAATCAAAAAAAAAAAAGAAGGTGAGAGCCCCCAAACACAGGCCTGTAGTGCTGTCATATGGACTCTGGTAGATAAGGAATGTAGACAAGTCAGCAAATGTGACACACAAAAGCTGGTATCATAACAGTGAGAAAGGGGAAGAAGGTAGGAATATAAGGAGGAAAAAAACCAGAAAACCCAAGAAAAATCCGAGACAGACAACACAGAATATTATTAAACAGAGAATAATCATTATTATTCATACTATGGTAAGAAAAGAAAAACGACAACGCTACCTGTACTTCCTTTTCTTCCACAGCCCAAGATTTACGCCTGTTCTGGCTGTGTAGACATCACTCCTCCCTACTCAAATGATAACAGGCAATGGCAACACTGTCCCTGAAGAAACAAGTTGCACAGGATCCCCCAAAGAAATATCTGACACATGCTGAGATTAGCATCCACAAAGCAACTCATTCAAGTACCTGTCAGATAGGGCTTCCCACTGCCAAACCCCCATTCCATTCCTCAAACCAGTTTCAAACACGCAACCTCACAATGACTTGAAATGAAATCTAATGGCATTGTCGAGAGAGGCAGCAGGTAGCAGACTCTGCTGAGTAGTACTCAACCTGTTGAAGCAAGCAACTTTTCCGACTCTCTCATGCATCCTGTCCAAGGTCCAAGAGTGGAAGAAGTTTGATTCAATTTCTGCCCTGATCCCAGATCTGTTTGTTGACAGAATGCTACAAAATGGGGCTAACACCCCAGAAATCTTTTGTAATGTATACAACACAGATTTCTCAAGGAAAGGCAAGGACTTCTCCTCTGCTCCCTCTGTGTACATGTAGGGTAAGTATAACCTCTTTCTCCTTCTTACTGGTGTGAAAAAGGAGTAAGTTATGTCAGCAGAGGGACTAACGCTTATTACTCCCCTACCATCACCTCTTCACCTCCAGTCCAGGGAAGCAGAAACCAGACAGACTTTGCATCACAACCAGCCACAGAGCCTCTTTCCTGAAGCTCATCTGTCATCCAGCCCTATCGAGAGGTTATGATTACCCACTGCAACATAGATCAGAGAAAGAATAATTACTGAAAAGGAAACAAGAAGGGTTGGGGGAGGGAAGTCTTTCCTATAGGGAAACCAAGTAAACGTCATCCAGAAGAACAAAGGTCTGTGGAGAACAGCTGGTGCCCCTCATTCAGAGGGAAGGATGACAGCCTGTCCTTTATTATCCCAAAGGCCACGTAAAAGAGGAAGCAGCTGATCTGTGGGAGGCAGAAGGACAGCAGCTGTAAGGAAGCAAGTACTGCTGCTAAAGATAAGAAAGAAGAGAAAAAAAAATTTGAAAAAACCACTGAAGAATATTCTGTTTATTTTCTAGATGCAGTTGAAACCTACAGCTGGGCAAGTCCTAAACACCTTCAATAATTGACAGATTTGGATAGAAATCATCCAAGACCAGGCTCATGCAAGGAAACAATATTCCATCTGGGATAGAAAAGAATGAATTTTGCTCAGTGTTTCTGTGGCACAGCTGGTTGAATCTGACTACAGCCTCCTTTCCCTGACACTGAATAGGACTTAAAGATGAAAAACTCCCAACTGACGTGTGTTAAAAAAAGGGGCTGCTCTAAACAGCTATTTTTCATCCATATGGTCATAAGCACTAAAAACCAAAATATAATCATGCTATGTGTTCTTCCATTTTTTATTTCTCTGTACAGCTGCAGCAAAGGATCTCTTTGCTTATTACTTTTTCAGCTTCTCATGTTTTTACTCCATCTAATCCTCACACACCATAATCCCCTTCACAGCAACACTGCAGAATGTCACACTCGGAGAATATGCAAACAAAGATACATCTGTAGCTTTTTTCCCCCCTCTCAAGATCATCAGGCATTTTACAAATGAGCATCACAGCAGCCCCATGAAGATAAGCGTTCATTAGACTGAACAAAATGTTACTGAACAACAAGGGAAAATAGCACAGTTTCCAGCATGATTAAAAAAACATGCATGCCGTTAAGAACAGACTTTTCTGACTTTAAAAATCGTTACCCTGTTATTGTTTCTATGTTACGTAAGATTGAACCGTTTGCCCTAGCAAATGTAGCAGAACTGAAAAATACTGTTTCTCCAGATTCTGCTGTTTCAAAATAATACCATTCTTCTATTATAAATCTACTATTATACAAACCCAAAAAACTATTTACACCAAATATAAAACAGGAGAAGAGCAGATAAAAAAGGTAAGGGCTTTCTCCGAATGGAGTGTGTGTCATTCCCCCCAACCCCAACGAAGATTCACAGACTCACAGGGTTTTCTTTGCGTATCACTCTCAAACATTTGCACTAGAAGCACAAACCCACTTGGTAATAGAAACATACTGTTAGTCTCATGCACAAAAGATACCCCATCTCAGAACCTGCCAGGTGGCTGACCTGCTCCATCAGGAGTGATGGTTCCCAACTTCACCGCCAGGGGATAACCCGTCTCCTTGTAGTGCTCCACTGCATGCCCGTTCCCCCCACTGCCATCAAAGAACCACTTTCCACACAGCACAGAACCATCTGTCAGGTTTAGCCACAGATTCTCCCGCAGGTCACATTTTGAGCACTTCCAACCACTGCAAGAGAAAACAGGAAGAAAGGACAGAAATAAGTAAGGCAGGAACCAGTCCTGTATTTGCAACTATGGTAGGTCAAACCAAACATAGACACCCAGCCTGGAGTCATGCAAAAGAATTGTTGGCTGAGTTGCTGGCTTTAGTTCTGTTACTCTGGACAGTATTAGAGAGCCTACAATGAACAAACCTTATTACCCTCACCTGGGGGGAATTCTAACACCATTGTCTAACTGTACAAGTGTTTTGGCATGTTTAGATGCCTGTAGCTCTTCTTCCCAGGAGTCAGGGTCCTGCTTCCTGTAGGGTGATTTTGCACTGAGGAGTGCATCACAAGCTATTGTCACCTGGAAGACAAATGTATGTCAATCAAAACCTAACACGATTCAGTGACTGGACAGAACTTGGCATTCAGCCCATTGCTAACCACATACAGAACTAGATATCAATAAGACTATTTATATACTTAAATATGCACGTAATCCTCCAGATTGCAGTTGTTATTATTTTAGCAGGAGAGGAAGCACAACATGTGCTACGTGAGCTTCCCCGTGACAAGCTGGCATCATAATAAGGGAAGGAATACAGGAGGTAAAAAGAAATCCAAGAAACAAAGACAAAGCAGACTTTTAAAAGTGACTGACTCTCTATTATAGCTGGTTAAGAAAGATCTTTATGTAAAAACAAGCACCACACGTAAGAAAACAAAGCACCATCTTGACAAAAACTGAAGCAGGAGACAATTCCTATCACCACTTGCACACACTCACTGACCAGTGCTGGTAACTCTTCTATATTGGGTAATGAGATTTCATAGTGATCAGGAAATATAATGAGTTTTGCTTCATCTTCATATTCAGAGTCATCACTGTTGAGATCACTGTTTGTCTCTAGATCTGGAAAACAAGATGGGGAATGTTAGGAGATTGTCCCGAGATCAAGGTTCCTAAATTGTGGCAGGGGTACCACTATGAAGCATTGCTTGCCTGGCATCAGCCTGCCAGTTGACACTGTCAGTAGTTTTGTCTGGTTAGAAGTGTTTGTGAAATCCTGATCTAAACTGAAATCTAACCATCCTGCAAGAGGATGTTCTGAGGACCAAAATTTCCATCTTAATCTCATCCCCAGTCACAGTCGATTTAGCCCCCCTCCAAGCAGTGCACTGTTGCAGACATCACATTCTGAGAAGCAGCCAACAAAATGCTGCTTATTTTGGACAAAATTAGGACGTAATACTGCTGTGCCTTTTACCCAGGATCTTGAAATGCTATACAATATGGATGCCAGATCACACTACCCATGCGCAAATTGCAGAGCAGGAGTAAGCACCTCAGTTTCAGCCCCCCACATTTTCCAGATCACAGACCTGGCTGAAACAAGCTATGGCTCCCATCCATCTTGAACCTGTGGCCTTTCCTCCCATGAAGATGTCCATGGCTGGAAGTATTCCTGCATCTCATCCATAGTCTCAAATAGCTACAGCAAGTACAGTTATACCAGCATTATCCCTCTCTTGCTAACTCCACTCTGTAACCTGTGTAACTATCTGTTTAAAAAGCACTTAGTAACTAATAAAGCTTTCCTTTGAAGATCAAGCCTTCCATAGTGTTTGTGTACACTCTTATTCCAGTATAAGGATGACTTTTTTTGCTTAAATATGAGCCTTGATCAAGCAACATCAGCTAAAATGCTTGTCCAGAAATAAGTAGACCCAGAGAGAAGACAGGAGGGTATATTGGCTTCATCAAAAACACAATTATCCCATAGTGACAAGACTGAGTTAAAATCTTGCTCAGTTCTTTCGAGGACAACTGAAAAAGTTAAGACCAAACATGTGCATGTTGTGTCAGACATTTCAAAAGATTCAACTGCAAGAATAGCCTGGGCAAGGATGGGATCTTCTGATCCTTCTCTCATCTGGAGATGCTGGATCTACTGCATTCCGATGTACCAGACAGTTACTGACAGAACAAGGTTCAACCAAGAAAGAAGATGCATTAGCAGTAGCTAAAGCTGGCTCTTATTTTCACTCCAAGTACATGCATATGCTTAATGAGTCACTCAATACTAAACGAGCATTGGCAGCAACCACTGCACCCTGGGAATGCCTGAAATCTCAAATGTATACTTGGGAGAGAGATGAGGATGACAGAGGCCAGATTCAGAAAACTAAGCTCTCTATTTACCCAGTGGGCAGTAACAGCCTGAACATCCTAAATGATAAAACAAGTATCAAAAGATATTTTAACTTGACCTGGAAAGACCACCTCTTAAGAGGAACATAATCCAGTTTCCATTCAATTCTTGGCTCACCTGCTGCACCAGCCAGTCCTGAGGGGTGACAACACCCACTGTCAGTGACTTGCAGCAGGACAACCTTTCTCAGCAGCAAACAACAAAAGCCCCTTCTCATCAGCTGAATATAAACACAGAAGCAAGAACTTTTTCTTCTACTGAAAGCATAACATTTATAAAGAAAATATTAATTCATTACTAATTCCCCGAATCACACTATTTTCGCTAACTATCCCTTCCCTTACTGCAGCATAATAGACATAACCAGCGACCTTACTTTACTCCGGGCTTCTTTCCCAGCTTGTATTACAATCCTGTGTTTTGATAAAGGGGTGAATCTCAACAGATGCAGTCTGCAACAGTGTCCTGGTTTCGGCTGGGATAGAGTTAATTTTTTTCCTAGTAGCTGGTACAGTGCTGTGTTTGGGATTTAGCATGAGAATAATGTTGATAACACACCGATGCTTTAGCGAGAAGCTGGGAGGGGGCACAGCCAGGACAGCTGACCCAAACTGGCCAAAGGGATATTCCATGCCATGTGACATCATGCTCAGTATATAAACTGGGGGGAGTTAGCCAGGGGAAGGGTAACCGCTGCTTGGAAACTGGCTGGGCATCGGTCGGTGGGTGGTGAGCAATTGCATTGTGCATCACTTGTTTTGTATATTCTTTTATCATTATTATTATTATTGTCCTTTCCTTTTCTGTCCTATTAAACTGTCTTTATCTCAACCCATGAATTTTACTTTCTTTTTTTTCGATTTTCTCCCCCATCCCACTGGGGGTGGGGGGATTGAGCGAACGGCTGTGTGGGGTTTAGCTGCCTGCCGGGTTAAACCGCAACAAACAGTAAGCTCTTTTGCTCTATGAAGCAAAGAAACTGAGTATCTCCAAGCTGATGATACATATGGCAACGCATCACAGAGAATTTTCTCTTAATGCCCAGAGATTTGATGGTGGCCAGCACAGGAGATGGTCGGTACTTTTGGTTTTGCTAACTATGACAGAGGTTCCTCAGAGAGGATAAAAACCTCAGTGTATGTTCAGACAGGTTTAAAGGCAGCAAACGCCTCTTCCAAGGGCCGGCAGTCACGCACTTCGCTCAGCCACTAGAGGGAACCTGAGGACAGCTCACATCAGCCGCTGTTATCTGTAGACGTGTAAGACCCGCTGGTATTTTCATTTGCTTATGATACCAACATTAAGTTTATAGTATTTACAATCCGCTATATATAAACAGCAATGACACACACTTCAGCTCATCTCACAAGCCAGACAACAACGGCCAGATAGTAGCGACTTTACTGCTACTGATCTGACCTGCATTTGAACTAGTGATCTAGGGATGAAAGACTGAGTATCCTATTAGCAATCACCTGCTGCCATCTAAGGACTTCATACACTTAGGAGCATCAGCCTTTTCTGTGCAATGGGTAGGGAAGGAAAGTTCCTTTTTACCTTCTCAGGCTTCATACCATTCACGTTACCAGAAAAGCAGAAAACGATGTCCTGTCAGCATGGCATTCTGGATGTCTGACAAGCCAACATGGCAGCATCACACTTCTTATTTTAAAGAAAGATACACACATCCAGGAAAAAACCATGAGGATTTAACTGGCAGTCCCACTTTTGAAGGTGACCATGTAAAGCTGGCACACTTCCACTCCACACACCTACTCCCTCTGAATAGGAATTAAAAGGACCGACAGTGCTTTTTGGCAATTATCACTCTGAAGACAGTTTCTCAGGGTTCAGATCCAGTATGTAAGAGTGGGAAGGACTTCTAAGGTCACTGGCTGAAATCCCTTGATACAGCAGATGACCATATAAACTAATCCCTTTTGTTGACTGTCAGACAGGCCCCTTAACGATGTCCAGTTGAAAACCCCCAGATCACTACTCATATTTTTACATCTTGGCGTGTATGCGCTGAGAGCCATAGTTGCTAAGTTCAGTAAGAAGTTCTACCTGCATTGTATTTTCTGTGCCTGTGCAAGGGCCAACATGGCTAAAGCATGAGCATAGATATAATAAAAACAGATGACTATTACTTTAGAAGGCAATGGAGCCACACTAAATGAGGGCAGAGGTTGACCCCGTAGCCACTGGGCATCATGTGCAGCCTGCAGGCAGTTTCGAACTTGGATGTTAAAACTAGTGCAGAATTTGACAGAGGAACAAGAGTAACTATAGAAAAGAGGAGCAGGGGGAAATCTACTTGCAAATGGAGCATATTTGATTAAAAATTACTGTAACACTAAAGGCACTGAAAAATATGAACTTTCAAGCACTATACAAAGCAAGCTGTTTCTTAGACAAGGATGTTCTTCCAAGATGCACTATGAGTACAAGAATCTCGGGCAAAAAAGTTTACTCAGTTCTAAGACAGAGCCACAAGACAACCAACCAGTTGGTAATCTTTTTAAAGAGCTGACAGCTTGGTGGTGAATGTCCACGTGACAATGTTCCCCTTCTAGTGGACTAACAGCTTTATGGTGCCTCCTCAGAGCCCCAATTAAACATCATGTTCACTAAAACAAAGCATCCGTAGGTCATAAGTGTTGTGTTGGGAGGCCAGGACAACAGGCAAAGCAAAATAACAGACACATTAAAATAGAGGCTTGACTGACATTGTTATTTTGGGCAAGTGGTCAGTAGAGTAAATTTACTCCAGCTCACAGGCATCACTTTAGTGATGGTGAGAAATGCATTGCTGCTAAACTGACTGAAAACAGCAGCTGGAAGTGGAAGACAGAGTACTGTAAACCAACCCACCGGCCGGGAAGAAAAGGAGTGGACATGCCCAGGTCAGATTTAGATAAGTTACCGACTGACTGTGCTAATAATAGTGGCATAAGGAGACTCCAGGCAGGACCCCCAAACAGGATTTCCTGTGCATATGGATGTGTCTGTATGCATATGAAAGGGAATACAAACATGAAAATTGAGTAAGGATGTTGACTAGAGAGCCTACAACTAATTTTGAAACACTAGAAAGATGTGTTAGGAATCTGGGCTTGATCCTGCTCTCACTGAAAGCAATGGACAAATTTGTATTGACTTGGAAGTGGAGGACTGAGTCTTTATATCAAGTAATTTCTTCCTGATGCCTCTAAATAATAATGAATTGCAGCAGCAGCACTTTTCAAACTATAAGCTATTCAGTTCATCTGTCTTCAGGCACATCTGAGACACTGACCTCATCAGATGAACTATGAAAAAGAAGAAATTAAAAAAAAAAAAGATTCACTTTGCAGTCGTAACGTTCTTCTTTGTGGCAAAAGGAAAAGCTTTCTACTAGGATCATTTGGATCATTCACTACTTGTAAAATAACATTCAAATTGCTTGCTACATCTCCAAAGCATTAGTATGCTGTTCTTATTGCTAGATATAGACCTCACCCCTTGGATTGCTGGCACAGTCACATGTTAAACAAGCAAAGTTAAACCACCAAAATTCAAATTCTTCACTATTTTGCTAGCTGCATTAGCCTTTGTTAATCTAGCCTAATTTCCACAGTTCTGCCTAAACCAGCAAACTATTAAGACTCTATTAGTGTAAGGTATCTGCTCACCATTCTGCACTCAACTCAAGCTTAGATGGCAAAGCCAGAAAGCAACAGGTTCACTCATGGTCTAATCAATTCCACTGCTACTGCTGGGGAGCATGCACAACTTTACTGGGCTAAAATTTAATATTCTCAGAAAACACTCAAATCCTCCTAAATCACAACTTTTCTATTCATAGATATATACTCTATATGTGCTTACTTACATAAATATAAACTTAAACCACTCAAACAGCTCGTGGTGAAAGTCCTCTTCAGAAGCTTACCAAATAAAAACATCCCTTCTGAAAACAGGGTTCTGCTACTGGCTGCTATGAGATCTAGGAGAGCTAAGTGGAGCTGTGGTCAAATCCAGTAGGGCCACTCTTATGAACGGTCTTTACACTTGGAAACTGTAGCTGTAAGTGCATTTGCTGCCGTAGGCAGGCATGTGCCATCCAGGAAAAGCTCAGCAAGTTTACACGTTCTCCCAGACTCTCTAAGTGGAAGTTTTCTCTTCCTTTCCGAGGCCTTCTCTGAGACCAGCTGTGTGTCATGGATACTGCTCCTCACTGACACTCCTCTCGCCAACAATTACCATCCTCACAGATCTGCTGACAGAGCTGTTCATTTGAGTACTTCAAAACACTTTTAATTGATGGTCTAAGTTAGCCCCGACTTTGCTCAAAACAGAGCTCACACAACTTGCTGCACTGGCAGATACTGCTATGGTAACTAGTCTGGAAGAGGACATCTGTCTACGGACAAGTTTTATGACAGCCACTCTGCCAGCCCTGTTTAACCTAGAGTCCAGGCTCTGCCATGGACCAACAGATGCCCAGGAAGAGGGTACCAGAACAAGGCAAAAATGCGGTGATTCCTCCCCTCAGTGTATACCTCCTAGCTTCCAGATGTCTCTCTGGGTTTTTTTGTTTGTTGGGGGGGCACGGGTGTGTGGTTTGATTGTCTGTTTGGTTTTGGAGAAAGAGATAACAGGGGGAGATACTGCATGCAGCTGTGGTTTCTCTATTCAAAAGAGAGGTTCATTTCTTATTTATAAACCAAAATAATAGAGAATAAAATACAAAATGTCACTCTACTCCTGATGTTCCACTTGATTCTTTCACTGCTGCTGACAACTGAGCTGACATTTTCACAGAACCATTCACACCATCTCTCTCAACTACCTTTCTGAACAGTAATAGCTAATTTAGTCCACATCACTGTGCATGCGCAGTTAAAGCACTTCTTGTCTTCTTTGCATTTTTCAACATTTTCTTCATCTATTGTTTAGTTAGTAACATATTAAAAATAACTTTTAGATTTAATCTCTTAGATAATGTTAAATCAACCAGCAAACTCTATTTCCTAATTTTTCAATCCCTTTCCAGACCATTTACGATTGCATTAATTCTTCATAATTAGAACATTATGAAGGAGTCTGCTGATAACTCCTGGGAGTAACAGGTCCAGGGGGACTCTGCTGGTAACTTTCTAACTGTAAGAACTGGGCCTCCAATCCCTTCAACACAAGGATCTTCTCTCTTATTCTACTACCCCTTTTGACCAGGATCTTGTAAGGAAGATCACAGTACATCCTGTTAATTGAATTGCTCTTATTTACACAGTCACTGAATACGTAGGGGGACTACTACATATAATCCCAGAGTATTCTGGCAGACCCAGAACCATTACTTCACTTCGGAAAATCCACAACAGTTCTTTTCTGTTCTGTCATATTTACACAACTTTCTAGCAATTTTGATCCATTCTTTTTCTTCCAGATGGGCTAATATGAAAATTAAATTTAGTGATGATACTTTTCCTGGTCCCATCATGCCTTTTTTTTTTCCAAAACTGGTATCACATTTACCATACTGTTGCTAATTTAAACAAGAGGTTGCATACCAAAGACAACAGTGCAGCTGTTTCTTATCTGAGAACCTTGTGAAGTCATGGGGAGCTATCATCTTGTCCCATCAATTAATTTCTTTCCATTTTACAAACTGGATCTAAAACTTCTTTGTGTGATAGCCACACATATTGACAAGCACAAAGTATCTTCAAACTTGCTAGCCTAGATAACAATGCAGTGAAGATACTACTCCATGCATTGTGATGCAGTCTGCTTTAAATATCACCCCAAATCCCCTGAAAGCTTGCACAGTCTGAGCTGAAGTTACCATATCCACACTGCCTAGCAACATCTTAACAATCTAGATTAAAGGCAGTTCTTACATTTCAATGCACAATGTTATTATGCTTCCTGATTACATAGAACACTCACAGCCAACACCCTCCAGCCTTCTCCAAAAGAAAAACAAAACAAAACGAGCCCAAAACCTAATGCACGTGTGCACATGCACACACACTTTGCTATGGGTCTTTTAATGTTTAGGGAAAGATAAAGCTTCCAGTTGACTGACCCAACCAGTCTGTGTTTCCATTGCATTTGCTGGATAGCAGCAGCACTAGAAAGTAATCAGTGGGCATCCAAAAGATGTTTTCCCAATACTAAGGAGATTGTAAAGGGTTTAGTATCTTTAATAGCTTTACATCAAAGAGGATTATAAGAAGCAATGTAACAAATGCCCAAACTGGATTGACTTTGTATGGAAACCTTAAATCTCTGGGCCTTCAGGGAATTATTCAAAGACACCTAGAAACACAGTGATGTTAGTTACCCATTGATCATTGTCTATTCTTGTCAGACAGGGTAAGCCCTAAATGGCAGGCTACATATATGGGCTGATAATAGTCAGTTTGGTGCAAACCTCTACCATAGGTGGTACCCAAGGTCACAATGAGAAAGACAGAACTAAACCGACCTGTTAAGATGAGAAGTGCAGCAGCTCTGAAACAATGAGGAATATGTTGGATTAAGAGGTAAGATGCCAAATTTTACTAACCATCTCTGCTGCTGTCACATGCAAAATTATCAAATCAGCTGACCTCTCCGTGATTTCATTTCCTCAGCTATGAACAAGGACAGGAATAATTCTTTGTTCTTTTCTTTAAGCATGGCCAACAAATAATGAAATCTGCTGAGCCAAAGAAGTGGATACAAAGCATTTGGATGCACGGAAGTACGATCTCAAGGATCAGAGCAGAGAGTTGATACCATTTTACTCTCAGCCAGCAGGGGCTGCAAAGAGGACTGCAGCAGAACAGACCAGATGAGATACATTCTCAAAAGTGTGTTAGACTCCAGAAGTGCTGGATTAAGTGGTGATAGTTCCGTGTGCTAAATCCACTCCAGTGAAAGTGCACCACCTTCAGAAGTTCATTGGGACCAGGACACCTGGAACTGCTGCACCACATCTACTCAGTGGGAACAAAATGCTCATGTGCAAGGATGCAATTTGAGGACTCCAACATGGTACATCAGAGATACTATGCCATGTACACTGCATGCTGGCATACCACAATGACAGGAGTCTCAAAAGGTATGCAGTAAATCAGCAAGAATAAAATTTGACTGTGTTTTTGTACTTCTTGTTTACACTCACGTTGCTAACACTGTACAACCATTGTTGCATTGCAGCCAGCTTTGTTTCTGAACCAATTATTTTATAAGCATCCAGTGACAAACATTATCTTCAGTGTAAACTGACAGTAAATGGCATTTAGACCAGCATCTGCGACTTAACAGTCTCTTCTTACAGAAGAAGTTTCATTTCTTTATGACTCATCTTAAGACTTTTTTTCTCTCTAAGTCCTCCTTACAAAACTTACTCCAGACACTAACAGCAACAATTTAATCAATCACAATCTGCAAAGGCCTCTTAGGGACACATTCCACAGATCAAAGGAATTCCAAAGGGAGGCCATGCTATTGTTTCCCCTTAGCCATAAGAGCTGGCAATTGTAAAGAAAACATTTAACCTCTTCATTAAGAAGAAAAACTTACAGAAGAAGTTTCATTTCTTTATGACTCATCTTAAGACTTTTTTTCTCTCTAAGTCCTCCTTACAAAACTTACTCCAGACACTAACAGCAACAATTTAATCAATCACAATCTGCAAAGGCCTCTTAGGGACACATTCCACAGATCAAAGGAATTCCAAAGGGAGGCCATGCTATTGTTTCCCCTTAGCCATAAGAGCTGGCAATTGTAAATAAAACATTTAACCTCTTCATTACCAGAAGAAAAAAATCACTATTCACTATTAATACAGAGAGAATAAATAGATGAATAAGAAATACCACAAGTGGTGGGAGGAGCAAGAATATAGGCATTACATTAAGTTCCTCATGCCCATATTTATGAGGCCCTCAGGTTTTTAGGTAATCTGAATCAATGGATATTGGATTAAATGGACATGGTAAGAAAACTGCTTTCCATGAAGTAAGGGGATATAATTGTGGACATACTGGAATAAGAATTGGTAAGAGATGCTCATGATATATGCATTGTTGCATTCATTACAGGAGAGACCACAACAAGACTTAAGAACATTTACCTGTGTAACAGCTTTGAGGTAACAACCCTTCCTATGACCAGCTGCTGAGCAGAACAGCACCACACTGAGGCCCTGTTACATCTAAACATTAAGTATAGATAAACATTTTAATAAAAGGGTGCTTTGTGGATATCACAAAGAGAGAGAGGGGACAGCATTAGTCAAAAAATACCTATCAAACCCTAAGCTGTTTGAGAATAGTTGAGGACCTACTTTAGATTAAAATGTTTCATGTACACATACACATATCTCTGAATATGCACCAAAATTGCTAAGAGTTACTTATTTGTCTGGACCAACTTTAACACCTAGAACCAAAAGTTTAAAAAAATAACCCAACAGAAAAAGAAAACCCACAAGGAGCCCCAAAGCCAGACACAATGGTGGACAGAACCCAAGTACACATGCAGACAGGGTCAGAAAAGGACTGTGTGAAAGCAGCTGTTCACAATACCTAAAAATAGCTTAGCATTCCTCCTTTTTGGTGAAGCTCCACCAGATGCCCCTGGTACCTTCTGGAAAGAGAGAAAGAAACAATTAAAAATCCATCAAGCGAGGCAACAGTAAATCAGCAATAACCCCATACCATCACCATTTCTGACACACATCTATCTGTTCACGGTCCTTCTATTAAATCACAGTCCTTGCTGAGCAAGAATGTAAATCCTCTTCATTAACCTCTGACAACAGGATTCAACTCATCATTGCTTATTACCCTCATGGAGTGAGAAAGCCACCATCTGAATCCTTCATACTTTGCTCTGTTAGCCATCAAGCAGAGCATGTCTCATGGTCACCGTGGGTGACTGCTGTTCTATCAACAAGATGGGGACATCTAGCATCACTCAGACCTCTCACCACTAGATCCCCTACAGTATTTCTTAATGACTAAAGCTGAATTAGAGAGGGGAAGAAAAAGCTATTATCTGCAGAAAAGATTCAATCCTTCATAACTAATTCCAGTATGATCACTTTGCTGCGATCTATTAGTTCAGCTAATTTTCTTCTATCCAGAAAAAAATGCCCTTTCTGTCAGGATCCATACCTGCTTCCATTAAGGTCAATCCCAGTTACCACCATGATTTCTCAATATTAGAGAGTATGGAGGAAACCTGACAACACCCAAGCAATTGTTTAGCGCGGATTTTATTTTATTTTTTAATTTAAACTCCACAGCAGAGAATAGTAACTTCGAAGTGACATTCAGTTTCAAGCACTACTTTCCCAGTTCAAAATACCTCAGACTACTAGGGAAAACGTTAGTAGCTGAGGAAATGTAAAAGTCAATGTACTTGCTTCTTAAACTGTTTATTAACAGGCACAATTAAATCAAACCAAATTAAATCAAATAAGCCTCTGTGGCTATAACGCCAACGTGATGCATTACGTAGTGTATAACGTTAGTGTAACTGGCAAGGTTGTTAGGCAACTTTTTTTTTTAATAATAATATTGGGATACAACAGGTGGAGAGAAACCAGCCAAGAACCTGTCAGCCTAGGGCAAGTTCATGTTTGCCTCTGCTCCTTGGTAGATGAAGGGGTCACATATTTTGGGTGGTTCCCTTCACCATGTAAATAAAGCTTTGGCCAAAGCAGACCGCTTGAATCATCAGTGAGGTCTTATACATCATAGAAAAGTTTTCCATTCTTAGAAAGAGCAGATGCCAACTAACACTCCTTGGCCGCACTTAAGAACAGAACCTATTATCCATATATACGAGCCCTAGGGAAAGGGAGTCAGGGTTGCAACTCCAGCATTACAAAAAAAATTTTAAAAAATTCCTCAATGAAGTGAAAATAACAAGCAGAACATTTTTTTCCATTAAGGAAAATGGAAAGAAAGTAGCCAAGAATCCAAATCTATTTTAAAAAAGCAGCAACGAGACACAACATAACTCAATTACAAATATATTATGAATAAATTACACATACTCCCAGGATTATAGCGTCAGAACTAAAAAAAATCCAATTGAATTCTGACGTCACCAGGTGGGATGTTGTGAAAGTCATTAAGACTAGAGATTTCAAAGAGGAAGAATTCACATGGAGGTTTTATCACTGCCAGCCTGACATTAAATATTTCAGCTTGATTTTCCAAACTGCTGAAAATATCTGGACTGGAATTGCAGATGCTCAATACTCCTGAAAAACCCAGAATCTGACAGGTTTTTACCTTGTTTCTCCACCTGTCAGGAATCACTGAAAATGTTCCCCATTCACAAAACAATTTTGGCTTCTAACAGATGTGACACACCCAGCAAATGGGAGTCCACACAATGCATCAGTTGTGGCATTAAATTCCATTTGTGATGCTTTTCGTACAAGGTGTCAGTGTAGCCTATTCTGCATTCCCTTTAACTGCACCATTGCCACATTTTTTATAACAGGGCCATCACCGAATAATATCCAGGAACCCATCACTGTAGGTAATTTCATGCTTCTCTGCCCAGTGTTTTCAACAGGGCTGAGGTACCATTATAGCACCAAGCTAAAGCTCTGCCCGGGGCTGAATATTACCCAGACAGTTGTATAAACAGTCATACACTACAGGAGAGTGGCTGATTTAAAAATTCTGAAGAATGAAATTCAGGGAAAAAGAAACAGAAAAAAATCAATTTTCTTGATATAGCTAAGAATTTTACCAGAGGGTGCTCCAGAACTTGCACTTGTGCACGTTTCTGATGATTCAACAGATGCCTCTGGTGCTGATCTGCCACTGGCAGATACTCTAGCTCTACTGAAGCCAGTACGCTGAAGATCTGACCCTTATTTTCTAATTGAATTGTGACAAGATACACGACTCATACTTAATCCAAACACCTTCGGAAGCAAACAGGGATTTCTGCAGCAATGCAGTGCATTCTGCAAGGATGATGCCAAGGGAACCACAAGCAAGAATAGCAGCCTCACTAAAAGAATCTTAAGATAGCATATCCAATGCCTTTGGCTTTACTGTATCCCACACCATCAAAAGCTTGGCTTAAAAAAAACAAAACCACAATGCAGCATGTGCCAGACACTTCATAAAACTGTTCCAGTGAAGGCCTGATGTTTCACATCGCTCAAAAGAAAACACAGATAGCACGTAAGAAGCAAACAGTCATGGTAAATAAAATCCACAGCTAACATATGAGGAATCCTATCTATAAGCCATGTTAGATGACACAATATTCACCTGTACTGTATAGTCAAACACTGTTTCCTACCACATGACCCAGTGCACCAGGGTGTCACCACCTTCCAACATAGGTGCCAGGCCCCTCTGCTACATCATGATTCACAAGGAGAAAAACAGGAACCACTGAACTAGTTCAATTGAAGGTGTACACAACACCAAACAACAGTTGGTATATTTGTTTCTCCCTTTTGGAGTTCTTCAGCCTAATCTTTATCCAGGAAAGGAATTTTTGAGGCCTCACTTTAACCCCAGTTTACCTTAATATTGAAAATTCCCAGGTCACATGCTGGAATAAAGTGACAGGATTTCTGCCCACCTGTCTCTAGTCCTAGATATCATCTTTCAAGAATGTTAAATTCACCCAGATGAACTGTTGCTAAAACTAGACTAGGCTCTCCAAAAACTCAGTTAACAGTGTGACGGAAAATGTTGCTATCGCCTTTACAAGGAAAGGCAATTCTAAAGTATAACAAACATAATTAACAATCTCAACCTGGGAGACATGCAATCCACCTCACTATAATTCTGATAAAATATGAATAGTCATCTACTGGAAATAAATGGTCAGGGCACTTTACATAACTCAGGGCCTTCATCACCCAGGGGAAACATTGCTGTGAAATGAGAAACGTGAAGTATTCTATCCCGCTCCAAGCAGCTATTTTAGGCCCTCTAACTTGCCAAAAGAGACAGGGCTTATGGGAGAGTGAGCTATAAGCAAACCCAGTGCCTTCCATATAGCTCAGGTCAGAAGTCATTAACAGCCCTTTAAAGATGCCAGACAAATCACACACAAACAGGTGTTCTAAAAAGCACAGGTTATAAATTACTGTTGATATGCAGTGATATTACGGAAGAACAGTGAACATGAAGTTTGTATGTATACATCCATGTGTGTGCAGGCATAAGACTGAATGAGGTCAGTGTGTGGCTCTAGAATCCAGCATTAATTTAAGCTAAGCTTTAGATCCCAGGCCAGGTCAGGATTAGGGCTCATGATTTAATTGTACAGAAGTCTTAGGATGAAAAGAAGTCCTGTCACCCTGAGATGAAACCTCATATAAAAAAAAAAATCTCAGAAGCTTCCAGCCAAATCTGAGCCAAAACCAGTAATTCTACACTTCAAAGGCAGGTTTCAGAAAAGTATTTAGTTACCTACAGTATGCGCATAATATGCAGACAGTATGTATGTGATACGCAGAAGCGTGTAGTGAGAGAGATCAGTGGAAGTCACGCAACAAACTGCCTTTAAGATCTGACTCTTCAGGGCATTTGATTCATCTCAGAACTGAACCTATAGGATTGGTTGGGATCCAAGCACCTGAATTTGATATCCAGCTCCAAATATGAACATGTTCATTTCTGTCATTCAAGATTTGGCCTATGTCTGAAATGCATTACCTAAACAAGCACAAGAGACCCAAGAACTGCCGGGTTAGTTAGTTGGGAAGCCACAAGTCTCACCTCTATCACATGTCGTTTCAGATGCAAATATACACACTGTCCTGTTTTCCGGTAATGCCTTTCAATGTGTTCCCTTCCAAATCCCAGAAACGTGTTCATGCACACATAGAGTCCTCCTTCTGAATCCTAAAAGGAATGACACAAATAGTTACAGCACAGAAGGAACTGAACAGGACAGAAAGGACTCAGCAAGCAGAAAAACCAAAGAATTGCAGACCCTCCCTGTTATCAGGCAAGCACTTAAAACATGGCTTTCATAGCACATTATGGTGTTTACATTATCAGTCCTCTAACAAACTTCCACATCATATCACAGCCTATAGAAACTCATTTAAATGGCTTACCTTACAACTACAGATTAGTGAGTGTCCAAATTGGAGGTCTAGAAGTTAGTCTTGAAAAATTCTGCTGGAGTGCCCAATTCACAGAGATTTGTAGGCACAGAAATTTGTAAAGCATAGAAATAATGAAGCACAGACATTTGTTTGAAATAGAAGAACTCTTTTTGGCCATTTGATTGCAAGAACAACATTCCAAATCAGAAGCACGGCAGAGCTGATAGTCTAGGGATTCAGGCACAACTTCTACTGTTGCTCACAATCTTGTCCGAGAAAAACAGATTTCAAGTGATCTTACAGCTCTTAGAACTGGCTAACAAGAAAATTGGCAAGTGTTTTGTAAACATTCTTCAGTATCTATCAGGGATTCTCCCTAGTCATGCAATTAGAGTGCTTGGAGACAAGGGCACTACAAAGGAAATATGAAGACATATATCCTGGTACTGATCACAAATGCTGACATTTCCGTAACATGACCTAGCAGGAGTCCCATCACTTTTTGCTCTCCCAGAAGCTGGGTGTTGATGCTGGCTGTTATCAGGGTTTTGCTCCATTTTAACACCGCTCCCAGATCTCTCCTACATCATTCAGACTGCCAGGAGGACTTTCAGTCATCTGGCTTGTTGGTGTTGGATCAATTTTTTAAGCCCTCTCGAGCATGTATTGTTTTGAATACATGGTGCATAACAAAGGCTGAGCCTTTCAGAAGCACTGTGACCTTCCTTCTATTGTGAATCTGTTTGTGCTATTGGATAGCACAGAACATCTCATGTTAAATTCCCCAAAGAACAACATGAACTAAACTCATCCCTAGGCACCTTAGAAGGAGGGGAAAAAAAAAAAAATCATTATCTCCAGAAACAAGTCACATTAGGCACATACATGCGCATAATCATGTATTGAGAATTGTTACAGCAACAATTGCTTTGACAGGATACCACCTGATAGTGCCACACCTGAAACATATTCAGTACAGTAAACCAAGAAGTTCTCTCCTGCCTGGCCTACCTCTCTTCAAGGCTCTGCCAGGCAGGAACCTCCGCTCTGCCTCTGAGTCCAGCCAGGCCCCTCTCTCAGAGCGAGCACAAAGCTGCCCGTCCTGCTGCGCCAGCCATGGCACGAGTTAGGCTCTCTCCAGTCCTGTGGAGTGGAACAAGTAGCAGAGGGCAAGTCTGACAGAGATCATAGCTGATCTCCAAATTTTCCGAACCAGCACCAGATTAATACACCCTATTCTCTTCCAGAAAAGGAAGCTGAAGGGCTTGTAGTGTTGAGCAGTTATTGCTCATTTGCTACCTGGCACAGACTAGCTGAGGCCTGACAAGTCTCTCCCCTCCCACCACTGCCTCAAAACCAGGCTTGAATGTGCCACTCTAAACCCTGTTAATTCTCCCCAACCCATTTCAAAGACTGGCACTGAGTATTTCTGTAGGACTTGAAGGAATCTAAACTTCCAGCTTACCTACAACCCTTATCCATACCTGTATGTTACCCTTTAAAACATGTTTGTTTTTATCAATATAACTAAAGCCAGAACTGAAGAACTGCCTCAAGCACCAATAAATACTGGCACTTCCACAGCGGCCAGCAGAGCCACGGAGCTGATGAACAGAACATGAAGACAGACCAGAGAATGATGTTTTAACCCAAGACTTTAGAAAATACCCGTCTCTTCTGCTTTTCTTAATGTGAACCAACACATACAAGCTTTAGCTTTTCAGATTTAGCTGAAAGTTGAACACGTAATGAACTCTACAGCTGTTGCTTTACCTACCTCAAAAGGACAAAAAATTGCACCGAGCATTCCAGGATTCAAATATGCGATCTGAAGCAAGGGTTTAGACTATCTGCCATTCACACTTACCATATACCATGAAGTCATTCTTTCAGCATCTAGATATCACAATGATTTTGTCTCTCTGCAGAGTAAATAGTAAACTATTTAGCTGTCTCATTTCTGAGCCACATAACCCCTATCTGAGATTCTATTTAAGAAAAAAACATAGCTCCTTTGAATTTGAAGTATTCACAGCCTTGAGAACACGGCTGATATCTACAATTGCGCTCAAAAGTAATAAAGTGGTTAAAAGAAAACTCCACATCTGGTATTCAAAATATTAATAAAATACAATTGTATTTAAAATATATTACATTTATTTTAATTTCCACTACTCTTTCACAGATTTATCTACTTTAAGGCCCATTATACCTTTGCTGTCTGCTCTTATATGCTGTATTCCAAATTCTTTTGCATTATCTCCTTCTGTGAGAAAGTCATGGATGTGTCCTCTATAAGAGAATCCTATAGGTACCCAGCCTAAATAAAAAAAAATATAGTGTTGTCACTCCAGGGTCTCAGGAACTTTGTTTACAATTTTGTTTTCTTGGAGACCACTCTCTCTTTTTCTGGAGGGAATCCAAGAGACCACTGCGCCGTTTCTGATAAGCAGCCTATGAAAACAATCTGACACTTTCAGTATATGAGCTAAATGTAGCATCTGAGTAAGTTGGTTGTGGTTACTAACAAAATAGTTATTTCTCCTGGAGAACACAGGCAGACTATTCTCTCACACAACTTGGAAGAAGTGGACAGACTGTTCAAAAGCGTAAAAGGTCACAGCAAAACAGGTGCACGTGTGAAAAAGCCACCTTTGCAAAAGGCTGTATAAAGGATTAGGCCCCCTGTTTGGTGCTCAAAGAATACTCAACTGTGATCTAAGACAGGCTTTGTGCTGGTAAATTTAACCCTACCGAGCACACAACCAGTTCTGGAAAGAACGATATATTACATAGGCATGTAAGTCTTTGTAATCAACATTCATTCAAGATGTGTGTGAAAGTTTATGTGCAGGAACGCAACATATCTAAAGTACCAAAGACACTATTTTACACCAGAAAAATACAGCTTGTTCCGAGACACAAAAATAGGAATTTTAGCTGGGTTTTTTTCCCCCCTCACACTTGCCTCAGCATGTGGTGGGCATGTAGTATGAAGTTTAGGATAAAGTAATATATAAACATTGTCTTCCCTTATTATTCCAATCTAAAGACATTGTTGGGGCAGAAGCTTGTACTTGCTGCTCAGGCCTTGATCACTACCCAGAAGGCCACTCAAGAGTGCACTATTCTTACCCTCTGAACAGAAGAAAAAGTGGTTGCTCTTCACTGTATTTCTTCCTATTCTTTGCTGGTAAGATGGTCACAGTATAACAGATGCTTTACTGATAGAGAGGGAGACACGCTGGCCACACCAGGGAGAAAAGAATTAAAAAACGAAAAATAGCTCTTCTTACTTATTTAGATAATAATTTATGTTTTGCAGAGGTAGGATGAGGAAGGAAAGGGACGGGGAATCCACAGTGAAAGAGAGCTAAAGTGTGACAGAGTTACTCCCTCTCACACCTGGAAAACAGAGTAAGGAAGATGGTGGATAAGAGGTCTGGCAAACAAACACCAGTCCACAAGGAAACAGAGAAAGATCACCACCTCATTTCACACACACTCATGGCACCAGACACTAATAGCTTTCAAACACCACCAACCTGATCAGGATTTGAACTAATGACCTGTATCCCATTACCAAACCCCCAAACCATTTAGATCCCTCAGGGAAATCTAGGGTTTAGCAATTTCAACTCCTGAGGTGGCTCAGACAATAAGGAACTTATAAAAACACAATTGCTGTGGTGATCTACTAACGTGGCAAACAGTTACAGACTTGGGCACAATGTCTACTACGCAGGTGTTTGCTTCAGATCCACTAGAACAACGGTAAAACTTGCTAATATAGGTATCAGAGAAGAGAGTAAAATGGCACCTTGAGTCTTGACAAGTCTCCATACCCAAATACAAAGAATGAAAAGTTTGTTCAGCCTACCACATAAATAAAAAGTGCCAGTTATGACAGAGGGTCACTGGCTCCTCTGTGCATTCTGCCATGGTTTCCATGAGAGTGTTTCCCTACAAAAACCACGACCATACAGAACTGTTACAGGCTCTTTTCAGAGCTGTGGTCACAAGACACTTGTATAACTACAACTGAACACCATAGCACAGAGATGGCTCCAGCTAAACAAAAAGTTCACTTTCAAGCTTCCACTGTAATAAATATGGTAACTTCAGGAGGGGGGGGAGGAGGAAGGGGTGGGAATCAACCCCAAAAATGTGTGCCGAAGGCCAGGAATATATCTAGGCTCATTCAAAAGGAATATGGGGTATGAACACTGGCATAATTCTGCCTTTTAGACAACTGTCCTTTGTCACCCAAAGGTGACAAGAAAGCAATGGCGACAAAAGGAAAGCAGAAAAGGAATAGTAAGAAAAGGGCAAAATTGTGCATCTGGTAAAGAGGAGGAGAGGAAGAACCAACAGAATCAGAAAAAGGAACAGAATGACACAGACATACACAAGCATTGATGTGAAAACATACACAAGCAGTGAAGAGGAGCCATGTACTACTGGAACTGGTGAAAGATGAAAGAGATGGGAAAAGAAGAGCTGGGTCGGGCAGAGAAAGAAAGGACAAATGATCTGACAGTAGGAAATTAAGGACAGGGCTTCTAATAACTGGCCTGGTAGCTTCAAGTGCAACAGAAATCCTTCCCCTGCCCTCCCTTAAAAAAAAAAAAAAAGAGAGAAACAAATATCAAAGTAACTATTTACTATTTTATCACACCTTGTGACAGCAATATGCAAAATAGTGAACAGCTTGAAGAACGTACATGTCACTGAAATCAAAAACTTATCAGGACTCCAGGGTTCTGATGTTATGTGGACAACCAG